ATGAGCTCGTGGGAGAAGATGCCATTCCAGACGAGGCCTTACTAAGCTGGATATTGGTTTTTCTAGTCAGGGTTTGTTGTGATATAATATGCTTGTATCATCGGGACATGGACTAAGAATACTCACGATCCAAATCCCCGCCTGGGCAACTGTTGCAGTGCCTGCATGGCTTATCAGCATACACTGTAGATACCGTATATGGGATGATGCTTCAGTAGCAAATATGCTTTGCAGCGTCGCTTACCCGTGAACAGATTTGTCACCAGCGACTGGTCCTCCTTCTGACTGACATCTCCTGGCCTACCCAGGAGAGGTTCGTACTCATCGGCCCTGTTGACAGCTGCGGGAGGCTGCTCAGGAATCCCCGTGGCGGAGGCCATGATGCTGTGTAGCACGCGATATGATAATTATGACGCAGAAAACAGCAGAAATTAACAGGAGTCGTAGCTGCACAAGATGCGTATGAATACCCTCAGATGCTCTTCCCGATGATAAATACTGCTGCCGCTGCTTGTTTCGTTGTTCTGTTCACGTCGTTGTGAATGTGAGGATGGAACTCGCTCAATAAATATTGAGTCGATTGCCAGCGATTGATCTTCAAGCGAAAGTCAGCCCGGGGCAATTGGCCAGCCCACGATTGGCCGAGACACTGGCGAAGCAGCCTTTACCTGGTCAAGCTCCAGCGAAGCGTCATGCATGCACAAGCATCATCATGGTCTGCCTCAGTTTAACTTGCAAGAGAGCCCGCTAAATATGACATCAGCCGGAGCTAAATAATCCAACGCCATCCACGCAGTGAGCCAAGAAGGGCCACCAAGCAGGATGTACGGAGTAGAGTATTTGAGAATTTACTATTTATCGTCTGCTGCCGTCTGCTGCCGTCTGCTGCTGTCTTCTGCTGTCTCCGACTGGGCATCGGCCCCCGCGATCGAGGACTCTGGGCTGCAGAACTTGCTGGACTCGGCTGCTTCGGTAAACCGGGAATCGTTGCCCCTATTCGGCAACGTATCTATCTATCTATAACGATATCTCTGCTGAGCAGAAGCCAATGGCCTCAGCCCACTTCGCCAGACTTCGCCAGACTTCGCCAGACTTCGCCAGCAATTCGCCAGCAATTCGGCGGCGACCCCGGCGGTACAATCGGGAGTACTCTGGCCTATACAAAGAAACATGCAGTGTCCAATGCTGCATGGTGTGGGCCAGGTGGAAGTGTACAAGGAGACCAGATTCCTCATTTATCTTAGCTAATAGTTACTATATAAGTTAGTTAAACTAGTCAGTCAACTCGTTAACTACCTCCTCATGCTCTCAATCTAGTATTTAATCCGTCCAAGGTTTCAGGCCAACAACAACAATTAAAGAGGTAAACATAAAAATGGATATCCCCACCAGCAGCAACCCCTCCAACACCGACGGAAAGATTACCCCACTCCCCACCGCTGCTGATATCGACGCCGTCTTCTCCTCCACAACCACAAACCTCGCCTCGACCTCCCTGAACGCCACCGTCCTCGCCTGTTCCGACGAGTTCTTCGCCGCAGCCTCAAACCTCCTCACTCCCACCCCGCCTATCCACCGCCCTGGCGTCTTCGTCCACACCGGAGCCTGGTACGACGGCTGGGAGACACGCCGCCACAATCAGCAAGAGTACGACTGGGTCGTCATAAAGCTGGGTGTCGGCAGCGGCATCGTCGTCGGCGTGGAAATCGACACGACATACTTCGTCGGCAACTACGGCGAGGGCGTCGTGGTCGAGGGTGCTTTCGTTGACCAGGAGAATGCGCTGGCGTCCGACGTCGTGAAGCCTGCTTTCAACGGCTGGACCACCATCCTGCCCCGACAGCCGTGCGGGCCATCGCGCCGCCAGGGCTGGCTGCTTCCCCGCCCCTCCGACCCAATCACCCATGTGCGCCTCAGAATGTACCCCGACGGGGGCTTCTCGCGGCTGCGATTATACGGCCATGCCGTGCCGCCTCCGCCTCCGCTGGCTCCAAAGACGGGTGTCACAGCAGGCGAGGCAGCAGCCGCGGCGACGGAGGTGGAGGAACTTTCCTCGGCGCTGATGGGGGGCCTTGTCGTTTCCGCGAGTAACCAGCACTTCACTCCCGCGTCAAACATCCTGCTCCCCGGCCGCGGGCAGCATATGGGCGATGGGTGGGAGACTGCTCGTTCGCGAACGCCGGGCCATGTGGACAGGGCGGTTGTAAGGCTTGGGCTGGCAGGGTCGGTGGAGAAGGTTGTGGTTGACACAAAGGATTTTCGAGGGAACTTCCCCAGAGCGGTGAGGGTGTCTGGGTTTCTGAAGAAGGATGTCAAGGACGGACGGGATCCGAAGGCGGATGATGAAGGGTGGGTGGAGGTTGTACGGGGTGATCAGCCGTGTAAGGCGGATTTGGAACATGTGTTTGAAGGGGAATTGCTGGGTAATGAGGTTGGAGGGAAGGTGTTTAGCCACGTTATGTTGACCATGGTGCCCGATGGTGGGGTCAAGAGGTTCAGGGTGTTTGGGAGGAGGGCAACATGAGGATGTCCTTCTCTTGTTGATTCAGCCCTTCTATTTAAATATGGGGGGGGGGGGAAATGTTGATCATTGCATTATTGTCACATATTTTTCAACCTGATAATGGGATTCTGGGCAGTTTTCTTGGTTTAGCATTAAAGCGATTACAAATCTCGTGCAACGATCGATGCACATCATACTAGGCACTATTCAAGAAGGCAACTTAGAGAGAGAATACGGTCCTTTGGTGGTAATTATGTGGTAATGATACACGCGCCATAGACAGCAGCCAAAGGGGAAACGGGAAGTGAGGTGTGAAACGGGGAAGACGGGGCCATGGGGGAAGCCAGGCTGGTTCGAGATATATATACATACATGGAATGATGAAAGCGGAAAGGCTGGGAAAGGGGAGAAAAAAAAAAAAAGGAAAAAAAAAGGGACATAAAGAGCCTGCCAATATTCTGGTATAATTCCTTCATTTCCCTTCTATTCCATATGTCGTAGTACCCCCCCTCCTATGCAGATAATTTTTACCATGTCGTTATCATCGGGCGTCGCTTCTCGTAAAGAAAATGGGAAAATAATGAAAATAATTAAGCAGAAAAATGAAGAAGAGAAGAAGAAACCCAGGGCCCAAACACAAACTACGGAGACAATAATAAAAGAAGCTAGAATATAATTTCATCCATCCATCCATTCATACGCATTCATACGTGTAGAAGGTAAGTAAGTAGAGAAAATCGAGAAAGGCAGAAATTCTAAAATTTCCCAGAACATATGAGTTCTGTGAGACAAAGGAAAAGCACACGGTTGTAGTAAGACGGCCGGAGGATATGTATGCCATGTCTAGCATAGAGAGTGCACATAGCTGGATGCTTGAAGTAAAAAGAAATGCATACAGGCAATCCTATTTCGACGATTTTGCAGGCGGTGAGCCCTCCCCATGTCCATTCGTATTTATACGAGTGTATGAGGCATCAACAGCAGTGGCAGCGGCAGCTGTTGCAGCACCAGCAGGAGATGTTGTTTGTTCGGCACTGAAACAGGGACCCGCCGTTGGGCTGTCGGGCGGTTTTGAGTCAGCGTTAGGCATAAACGCATACATATCCCCTGGCTTCCCCTGAATGGAGGTCATGGGTTTGAGTTCATGCCCGTTGTTTGTTTGTGGTTCCTCTTCAACGGGGGACGGGGCGGCGGCAACCGCATGTGAGGATGCTCGGCGCCACCGATAACCCCGTCTCGGGAGCTCAGACTCCAGTGAAGGAGCTAGATACCGATCAAGCATCGTTCTGAGCACATCTGACCTGACGGGCTTAGCGAGGTAATTGTTCATACCGGCGTCTATGCACTTTTCGCGATCGCCTTCAATAGCGCTGGCGGTCATGGCGATGACGAGGACATCGTTAACGTTAGGATCCGAATCCTCGCGAATCTTGCGCGTAGCATTGTACCCATCTAAAACTGGCATTTGAACGTCCATGAGGACAAGGTGGAATGGGTTTCCTTCTCCAGATGCACGCCTAAGAGCCTCCACAGCTTGCTGACCATCACTGAACGCCTCGCACTCCAGCCCCAAATTCTTCACGAAAGTCACTGCAATTTTTTGATTGATCGGATTATCTTCGGCAATGCAGACGCGGATTCTGTTTCGGGAAACAGATTTGAGATCTCTGATTGTCTGTCTCATGGGGACCTGCTTCTTTTCTTGAGTGCTATCTTGAGACCATGGTGTTTTCACCACAGAATTCTTCGGGGCTTTGCTGAGTACTAGCGTAAAGGTAACAGTCGTGCCTACCCCTTCCTCAGATTGCAGCCAAATCTTTCCGCCAAGCACATCCTCTATTATCGCTTTGCAGATGCTCAATCCAAGCCCACTCCCTCCGTATGATCTCGCTGTCGAACTGTCAGCCTGGGAGAATGGCCTGAAAAGGCGAACCAATTGCTCTCCAGATATTCCAATACCAGTATCGGCAACTTTGCACGTTATACGAATACGGCCATCGTCTTCATCGGCTGCTTTGGCTTTAACCGTGACGGAACCTTTGGGAGTGAACTTGTAGCTGTTGCTTAGCAGATTCATAAATATCTGGTGGAGGCGAACGGGGTCTCCCAAAACCAATAACTTTGGATCAACGCCATCAAGGTCCTCGATAGTCTGAAGCCCGCGGTCACGGTGGGTATAGCGAAGAGCACGAACAACTTCCGCAATGGTTTCTCTGAGGTTGAGAGGAACCGTCGATACTTTCATCTTGCCTGCTTCGAGTTTGGAGAAGTCGAGAATATCGTTAATTAACGTTAAGAGAGTGTCCGCGCACACACGAATTGATTCAACGTAACCATCCTGCTCCCGGTCCAAGTTGGTCTTCTTAAGTAATTCAGACAATCCGATAACCCCATTCATTGGTGTGCGTAAGTCGTGAGAAACATTCGCCAGAAATATTGACTTAGCCTTGGCGGCATCTTCTTTGAGCTTAACGTTATGTTTAGCCTCCGCTTCTGCGACTTTGGACTTTCGTTCCGCTTCCCTGGCGAGAGACAAGGCACGTTTCTGAGCCTCGACCATAGCGGCGTTAGCAGCACTAGAAGTAAACGTCAGCAAGTTGGCAAAAATCGTAAGCAGCGCGGCATATGTGTGTGGTGCGACAAAAGCTTACCTAACTTTACTCGCGTTCCGATAGAGGAAGGCGTTTGCTAATGATATTCCAACTTGATTACACACAAGACGGAGCACAACTAGATTACGTTGAGTAAACGAATTGGGCTTGCCCTCAACGTGAATGACTCCAAGAAGATTGTTGGCTTGGATAATAGGCAGGGCTATAACGGATTTTCCCTGAGGGTTTCGGGAGGCGTAGGCTTCGCTGACATTGGAGAAACGTTCATCATCCAGGACATTATGGACGAGTACTGGTTCCCTCGTACGCAGTGTATAATGTGTGATTTGTTGTGCCATTTTATCTTCCACTTCAGAGAAGGCGAGGCCGTCGGCGAAAGCTACATCTCCATTCTCGTGATCGCTAGCCGCAGCAACCAACCAACCATATGGCTCAAATTCTGTGACCACAAGTGCTAATTCGGAACCGCTACACGACTCGAGTATTATGCCAACCATTTTGGTGAGTAGCTTGTCTATGTGTAATTCGGAGGACATGACCTGACTAAATTCAAGAATGCTGGACAAGTCGATAATATCTGAAAATAAAAATTAAAAAAGATGTGGTTAGAAGTCTCATTACTACGAGTAGGGGTGGTGTGTTGCGAGGTTCATACCTAGACCAAGCCCAGATATATCCAAAGACCGTTTATCAGCGTGTTCTTCATTTTCCTCTAGCCACTCTCGTTTACGTTCATCTTCAAGGTGGGGATGAATGGAGTTTGACGCTGGTTCTGTATTTCTCGTCGGAACGTTCAGTATCGAATCAACAGTTTGACAACCAACATCATTCGATCTCGATGCAGAAGATCCAACTCTTAGAAGCCACTCATGTTTTTCTGAAAGGTGCTTAGCTTTTCCTGTTGCACTGATACGGTTCCAAGAGGCGATTGCTTCCTGAAGCAAATACTGAGCAGCCCGTTTAACGCCACGTCGAACAAAGAAGTCGACTTGAAGCTCGAGAGCAAGGGCTTCCTCCAGAGGCCATTTGTGCCACTGGGCATGATCGAGTGCCGCCTCAAAAGCAACGAGAGAACTCTGAAATTTGCCGGATGCCTCACATATTAGACCTTCAAGCAATAATGCCCATGTACCGTAATTCGCGTCGCATGCTCGGGCCTTAAAGTCGATTTCCTTTTTGTACTCCCTGACCTGGTTGATGGTCTCCTCGAGGCCAGGTCTGGATGGATCATCAAGATGGAGGTTAAGCATAGCTAAAGAAAGATAGAAATATGTCTGAGTGGCAGCGCGCAGCGACCAGAGGCCAGCCACCGTTTTCATCATATCAGTGCCAATCTCCACTACCTTCTCGTAATAACCGTAGAAATAGAGTGGCACCAAACTCATTGCACGATACAAATCAAGAGTGTGCGAGTTCAGGCCATGAATAGCAATATACTTCTCGCTGTTGTGGTGGTCGTCAGATAGAATATGATCCGCAGAGTTGATGCAAGTAGCCCCTTGGAGCGCACGTGCAACTTGCCTAAAAATCGGGATCTCAGTAACATATTTTACTTTATTTAGAGATGAAAGACAGTTGAAGTTGGGGTTAGAGGAATCTTACCGGACAGAAACGATATAAACTCCGCCACGTGGGTCGTTTTCCCAATCAGCGATTTCCTCGGGTGCATAATTACACAGTGCTTCCAACTCGCCAAGGTCGTGGCCTAGACAAAATCGCGTGAATACCATTGCAGATACGTTGACCAGTATCAAATACCGTTCACCCAGCAAAAAGGCTGCTTCCATGGCACTCTCGAGGTGTGGTAATGTCGTTGACATCGGCATCCTCATATGATTAACAAAATAATTATGGGTGGTAACAGCGCGCGCAGGAACCCAGGTTTCGTTGAAGCGATTTAAGAGACTAACTGCGGCATCGCTAAGCTTGACGCCAAGTTCGAGATCCTTGTATCGGCTCATTGCAATCATGGACATGTAAGTGCAGAGAAAGGTGATCTGCGAGAAGGCTCCACGAAATAAATAAGTATTCATCATTTCAATCCCCAGCTGGAGAAATGTCAGGGGTTGGCCCCAGATACACACAGCCAAAGCTTCGGCCATTAGTGACCCAAGGGTGATCAATGATTTGTCCTGACTGAGAGGTACAGAAAAAACGACGTCGAGGTCAGCAGCTTTAAGATACGCGCTTAGCTTCTCGTACGCCTCATCGCAGCTTTCCCAGGAAGTTGACCGGTCGATTTTTGCACCCAAATCTTCCATACCCGTGAACAAAGCCTTCAGGGCAGCAGAAAAATCGCCATTGTGGGCGAGAATCCTGCTTTTTAGTGTCCATGCCCTTGCCTTGCATACAGCGGTGTGTGCGCGCTTAAACACAATGTCAAGGATGTTCATAGCTTCTTCTGACTTTCCACTAGATATAAGCATCTCGGCTGTTTGAATATGGAGCTCTCGTGTTTCTTCATAGTAAACGTCTTCCGCATTGCTATCCCATGGGTCATCCTGCAGCAGGTACAGGCAAGCTTGAAAATAGCTTAACGCAGTAGCCTTTGCTCCAGACTGGAAAGCGGTCCGAGCTGCGTGGTATAGAGCATCTCTATATTTGATCCGTTCGTGAACTCGCTGCTTGATCAATCTTGCTGCGCACTGAATATGTTGAGCCCTCGAATATAGTGAAGTGCTATCTGTTGGTCCGTATTTCATGAGGGTTTGTGCGGCAATGAAGTGCATTTTCTCTTGATTATGACACTCTCTCATTCTTGATACAGCTTGGGCGTAGCGATCGTGGGCGAATCTAATTTTTGTTTTTCGAATGATTAGCTAAATCAGGCCGTTTCGATCCAGATGGCAAGCAAATTTATATTACATAGGTGGAAAAAAAAAAAAATTTTTGAGAAAAAAAGGACCAGGAATTTGGGAAGCTTACCTAAATTCATCATCAGTTTCCCCTGGAAGTATAATATACATTTGGAGCAAGTGCTGAAGTCCTGAAACCATTCCCGATTTCGTCTGTGTCAAAGGTGTCCGTCGCGGACATGTAATGTCCTCCGCATCTTCCCCACCCATAGCGAACAGGAATTCCCCTGAGAGCAACCTCTGAACTAAAGTGAAGGAAAATGGGCTACCTAACAATGCAGCCCACAAAAGAATCGACCGGGATTCCACGGGAAGCTCTTGGAAACGTTTGGCAATGAAATCTGTACCGAGACCTTCGCCATAAGATGGGGACACAAATTCTGTAAATATCCTGTCCAAGTCAAACTGCCAAGCAGAATCTCTCCAGGAATACCATATACAGTTTTTCCGATAGCAGGTTTCGAGGATCATTCGCATGTAAAACGGGATTCCTTGGCTTTTTCCTTGGACGACTGCGGAAAGAGGAAGAAGTTTTTTGCTAGCAGGCTGGTGCATCGTGGCAGCAACATATTCGTGAACCTCCGCTTCGCTTAATGGATTTAATTCGATCCTGGTAACATTGGCCGTCTCCGTCTGGAAAAGTGCCTTTAATTCAGGATGGGTTATTTCTTCTGGTCGGCTCGTGATCATAAGGACGCATCGAATTTTAGTTCTGATGATCTCAAGAAGAGTATGAACACTTTCCACATCAGCATATTGGACATCATCCAAACACACACATATCAGTTTATGGAACGACATAATCCTCAATATTTCAATCAGAGTATCCGCAAATCGGAGAATAGCGTTGGACGATGGCCCGTGACAGAAATCCTTTAAAGTCTGACCAACGCTTAAGCTAATAAATCCGTCATCTTGGAGATGAAATGACTCCTCTGTCTCTTCTTTAAGTACTTGAAGTGGGGTAGCATTAGACTTCAAGAAGTTCATGGACTCGCTATTCACATCCACAGGGTATATCAAATTTTCTGGTAGGCCGAGGACTTGATGGAGGGATAACCATATTGGCTGCAGGGTGACACGTATTGAGCTATGGTAATCGGTTGAAACGTCACGTTCGGAAAATATCTGACGAAGAAGGCTAGCGAGGATTTTAAAAAATGGTTCAAATGGAACCCTCCGTGAACGATCCAGACGAGCAACGGCGATGTAGCCATGTTTGCGGATTTCTGGTTGTAGTCGATTCAGAAGATCTGACTTTCCAAGACCAGCAACACCAGATATGCTTATCACTTCACAGCGGCCACTTTGCCGATACTTTGCCTGTACCTTTCGCCGTCCTAGAGGTGCAAGAGAATCGAATTGGTTGTGGTTACCAACAAAGGAAGTCAAATAACTTTCGCGATCATTGATGTCCCCAGAATTCCTTGAACCGGTGGGACTTTTAACTCGACTGGAGAGAAGAAGTGTCTTTTGACTTGAAGAAGAATCGGCACTACAGGCTGAGTCCTGCGTTGATGTATGTGCAAGAGCGAAAGGACTAGACGTAGATTGGGTTCTAATAGCAGCAATACTATATGATCCAGAGTCGCTGGAACCATCCCCGGCCTCGACGCCATCCACACGACTATCGGAAATAGATGAGCCTGAGCTAAGGGCATGAAGAGAGTGAATTGACTTGGCCGCCACTTGAGCCACAGCAGCCTGATGGCGTTTTTGGACTTTGTCAATAATGTGAAGAATTTGTTCATGCTCTTCTTTCCGCCCAAACATAGCTGCTGGTAGCGTAAAAAAAGATGAAACATCTCGTTGGGCTATGACGAAATTGTTTAATCCTTCTTGGTCGCCATCACCAAGTAGCCTTGATATTTGCTGAAGATCCCACTTCACAGAAGATATCGTGTGATATCTATCATTGATTTGCTTGTGGGTCATTTTTTGGATGACAGCGGCGGCTGCGTCCGGTACATCCATCCTTTTGCGGGAAACCTTGGGTAATGTTTTTCCAAGCACATTTTGTACAACTTCGACAGGATCACTAGCATCGAATGCAGGTTGTCCGGCAAGCATCGACCAAAATAACACGCCAAGAGCGTATATATCAGTTCGGCTATCAGGCTCCGTTGGCAATCTCCCAGTCTGTTCAGGCGCGATGAACTGAAGCTTATTTTTCACCCCCAACTCGCGTGACAAGATTGACCAGCCTTCACTCAACGCATTATCGAACGATCTGGCACCATTACCTATGTTTGAGAGTTTCACTGCACGGGTCTCGGCATTGAAATGGAAGGCATCTGGTCTGATTTCTCCATGTATGCATTTCAAGCCATAATGCAGCAATTCTAAACATTCGCAGGCACCGATGGCAAAATCCAAGAAGGTTGCGATGGGCACCTGGGTGCCCGGAGACGTACTCTCTGCTAATACATTTCCCCTATATGTCTGGAAAAATATAGGACCGAAGCCTACATACTCTTTCAATTGATTGGGGCCTTGGGACTCGTAAAGGGCAACCAAGAAGGGGCCGCGATCCCCTGGCTGGGGAGCAAGGCGAATAATATCAATGGGGCGAACAGTATGTTTGCATTCAGGATCCGATATCTGGATAATCGACTTCAGCGTATGGAACTCGCGCTCCAGTCTTATAACATGGCTTGAGACACGAGCCACTACCTGTACCCATGAGGCGTCGGGCTCATTGCGAGAGGAGACATCACTATTTGATTCGCTGAGGCTACTTCTCCAGTTATGTCGGGAGTGAAGTTTGTTTTCGATGCGAGGAGAGGTGTGTGCAGATGCTGATGAGGACTCTTTCGATCGAGAGGAGGAAGGAGTAAAGATGGGCACGTCTGTATCTGAAGCCAGCCTGACACCGGAGACATGCCAATGATCGTAGGAGGAGCGGAAGGGTCGGAGATTCTGGTCCCAGATGTAACCGGGTAGTTGCGACAAGCGTTCAAGCAGACGCTCTGGAGGAAGTGGCAAGTCCTCCCCAAGTATAAGGCTGTCATCCATCATGGGGAGTGGAGGAAGCGCGGGGGAGGAGGGATCGACGTCAAAGGGTGCAGAAAAGTATGCGACAAGACCAGACTCTCAACGCATTGTTTGGTACGGCGGTGGAGGAACTTTGAGAACAGCAGCGGGCCTCAAAAACCACCGAATCGACGAGTAGTCGTTCATTAGACGGCCCCAAACCCGACGCCATACAACAGCGTAGATGGGAATCGGAGCAGATGGCACCGGCAGAAAGGTCCCTTGGAGGGAGTAACGCTGCTTGTGGTTTGGCGATCGGGCTGGGTCGAGAAGGCCTCAAGAGGGCTTGGCATCCCTGTTTCGGGTCTAGCCTCCAGCCCGCTCCTGTCTTGACGCTCCACTGCAACACGCCACCAATCGGAGCCGGAAAAGTACAGAGTACGGAGGACATGGCATATCCAATTTTAATATTAGATATCCTTACCACCCGCACATCTGCGCCAGACTGCCAGCCTAATATAGATAGATGCCCTTGCTAGATTTGTGTTGTGGGCGATCTATCAAGGGCTGCGATCTGCTTTGTGTTTATTGATGCACCCTTTGCTTGCAGCGGCGTGTGTTGTTTGTGATGAAGAGACATCAGCCAGAGATTTCCCTTTGCTAAGCTTATCCTCTTGTGCCTCCCTCCCTTCTTATATCTATAGTATCTGTTTTAACTGTTGAATAAAATATTTCACAGTGTCAAGCTAAGTCGGCTCCCGTGACTAATAAAAGCAATTCTATAAACCCAGGTCTTCCAGCAATCAGGGAGAAAGGCCCCAGAGCGGAAAGCGGCGAATCCCTGATATACTCCCGATATGCAAAATAAACGATTAACGGGACACAGTAATAAGCAACTTTCCCGTGGCTACAAGTTATCAAACCGGAAGCCCAATTCTAAAATATCATAAATACTGCATTTAGCCATCCTAAGAAGATGTTATATGGCTAAAGGTATGACACCGTGACCTAGGGAAGCGATATCACTTCCATTCGAAACATTTCCCCCTATCCTTCGGACATATCCTGTACCAGTCCGGGATCCCTTTGAATGATCCCCTCTTCGGAGGGATGTGACATCAAATTGCCAGCGCCAGCCTTTGCAGAAGAAATAAAATATCACGCAGTACGATCTCTGCACACGAGCCACACTACGGGAACATATTTGCTAATCTGCACTCTACATCATCATGATACTATCGCTTGTCAAAACCATGGTATTTAAATAAAGACCCCTTGGATTTTCGTACTCGCTCGCCGGCTGCTACGACTGTGTGAGGAACCCCTTATTTATCCACACACGGACCGGAAGAACCAACCTTATCTCCCAAAAAAGAAAAGAAAAGAACAAGAACAAGAAAAATGGGACTCCGGCGCCTGATGGGAGCGGACTTGGTCCTAGAAGCGTCCCATTTATAACCCCATTCATTTTCTTACTGTGCACAAACCTAGAAAAGATTATGTATGTTACTCTGAATTTTATCCGATAATACTCTTGCATGCAATGCTCCGTGGATTAAAGAAAGGAACTGTCCCTTGCATGCTCCAATCTCAGATCACGGCTCCTTGAACAACGAATTACATGGATTAATGCATGGGCGTAGCCTGTATGCAAAGCTAGATCTGCGAGGATAGCAATCACAACCTGGCGATACATGCATATTTTCTAGGTTGCTTTTACACTAAATGCACTGTAAGTATTGTACATACTTGGTGATAGGAAAGGTGCGGAGGGGACGAAAGACGTAGAAGTGTTCAAACCTATGGGAAGGAAAAAAAAAAAAAAAAAAAAAAAAAAGAAGAAGCAAATTACAAAGGTTGACATAACGAGATAAAGGGACATTAGATTCTGATCATAAAGAAGCCAGTTGTCCATTCTCTCACTGTTATTTCTTAATTTGCAAATAGCATGAAAGAAGTCGCGGTGCATCCACCCGCCTATTATTGAATCGGCGAATGTCACAATCGAGCTAGAGAATTTTTGGGAGAGCTCGGGTGCCGATGACCTCGGGAGTCTCTTGAAATGATGTGATGGGCACAAGCTAGCGTGGGAGTCGACTCTTTAAGACGTTCGTGTGATAAATATCACCCCCATCGTGGGCAACAACGACAACATACCCAACTGCTAATAATATCTAGTGGATATGCCAATCAATATCCCCGTCGTCCGCACGCACAGCCGTTTTGGATGACTGCGAAGCTATTGATGTATTTCCGTCCTCCCCCTGTCAAATCGGGTTTTTCCCGCCTCAGCCTTAATAGGCCCTGTCCATCTTGTGCTTGTCACCTCGCACTCTGGCTCGGTCGGTTTATAATTTCTCTTAGGATCAGCCGTTCCAAGCAAGGGTTTTTTGAATTTCAAACAGGGTGTGTTCTTTCCACGCGCAGTTTGTTTGTTTTCTTTGGCCCAACATTATTTGCTAGACGGAAAAGAAAAGCGCCAGCTGTCATGTTATGGGACGCCCGCATTCTGTGTCACAATTTTTATACTTCAAGCTAATAGCTAACTACCACTGGGGTTTATGGAGGAGGTTGAGGTGGGGGGGGGGGGTTGGTGAGGCGAGGATCATTGCCAACAAGTGCCCCGTGGATTACATCAAGTACACAAAAATGCAGTTGAAATATCTTATATTCGTCCTCCTCGTGGGGTAACAGGATGTTCATGCCTATGTCCATATAAATCCATAATAGCTCCTCCCATCCAAACCAACTCTGCACGATACGGGCCTTTGTTTGATGTGTTTAAAAAAGCTCTTTGTTGAAGAATGGATAGTTAGCGCTATATATATATATCCAGGTATGATATCAAGCCTACCGTACAAGATAAATGTTGATAATATTATTTTCCGGGTAACCGTGCCATGCTTACTCACTCTCTCTAGTGAGTGCGCCACAGCGTACGGAAAACCACAGCGTACGGAAAATATTATCAATATCTTCATTCTTCATCTTCAAATAATCATCATTAATTATAACCATGCTTAAATCTTCTAATTACACTGAGGAGCAGTTGCAAAGAGCTGTTGACATGTACAAAAGCAATTCAAAATTAAAAATCACATCTCTGTCACAAAAATTCAAAGTCCCATATGCCACCTTGTATGAGAGGATCAACAGGAAGAAATCAAGGACTATGAGGGTTCCACTGAATAGAGCATTGAATGACAGTCAGGAGGAGGCAATTAAGATATGGATTCATCAGTTGGATATTAATTTTTGCCCGCCCACCATCGAGCATATTGAAGCCGCCGCGAACCGCATGTTGAGGGGGGGTGGATGGCGTAGTGGTAAGCGCTGTTCATGGAATGCTTTCTCAAGTAGGCACTTGGTGTTGGGGCCACCTCTGCTGAGACAAGAAGGTAGTGGGTTTGAATCCCACCTTCTCCAAAAAGGATATTATCACATCTTGATGAATATTGAGGGTATTCTTTTTTATCTCATTTCTATTGGTAACTGCCACTGCAGGGTGGAGCAATGTTCAACACTATGTACATAGTCTAGATGAATTTAGTATAGTGTGGGATTTTAAGATGTTGTGATTCTTACATATTTAGTTCAAGCGATAAGAGACTGCTTAGTATTGTGTAAGCAATTATAAGGCAAGGCCTCTTTTGAGAGCTAAATTCAGAATGGTATAGTGAAGTCTCTTCATCAAAAATGACTCAGTTATGAATAGAGAGATGTAACTAGAGAATAGTTGAATATAAGAGTAGGCTAATGAAATGAAAACTGTTATCCACCTTTGAGGGCCGCCCGGGCGGGAAACGGCCCTTCCCGATGCGGAAACCGGCCGTCCCTTTCTGCGCTTGCGGTCCGCCGCGCCGACCCCAGCTAAACTGCAACGTCTATATAAACCCGCACGTCTCCTCGCCGTTCCTGTCGAAGAGGCTTGGCTGGTGCGCTGACTGAATGGAGAAAGCTAGTTCGTTCTCCTCCTGGGTGTTCCTTGATTGATGATTGGTGGAACGTGATCGTTTGGATGTCTGCAGACCCTTGTCCGGGGATCTGCGCTTCCTGGAAGACGACTTTCGACGGATATCTAAGCGACAGGGCTCGGTGAGTGGTTGAGATTGATGAAACGAGGAGGCCGTGCTGGGGGTGCGCTTTTGAAGTCGTGGCGCTTGTCATCGAAGGTCAGGCCGCAGCGCATGTCCGCGATACTAGTGATGGTACTGTGGCCAATGATCCTGGCGACTCCCCGGACATTCTTCCGACCCGCCAGCTCAAGGAGTTCCGCCTCTGGCCTCCGCTTGTCCGACACCCACGAGAATTTGGCTACGCTCTCCGCTTGTCCATCGTTTGCGAGAAAACATGTGGTTCCGCGACACACGATGGCACGCTGATAGGAAAGCATTTCGCCCAGCTGCACATTCCTTTCCTCTGAGTTCCCAGGGCCCTTGACAGTTATTGATTTGTTGCCGCCTTCATCCCTAGCGATAAAGGTATCCAGTCCCAGCTCCTCGTCGCTCATCATGGTGTAGCCCACAAGCACCTGAAAGAACTGTCTCGAGTCCGCGTAGACGTCGATGATGCCCGAGCTATAGGGGCCCGAGCGGTCAAACACCCACGCCTCCATCTTGGTCCCGCAGACGGCAAATGCGTGGACGAACCGCCGAGTGGGCTGGGCCACAAAGACCTCGCGCACGTAGCGGCTTATCTGCAGCAGGGCGCTTTTGGTCTTGATCTCCTCCTTGGATTTTTTGAGCTCGCCAACTACCAGGATATCTCTCCAGTCGTGATTGTTTTGAGACGGGTTCGCGCCGCTAGCTCTCAGAAGAAGGTCAACTTGCCGTTCCGCCTTCGAACCAGTCAAATCCGCTTTGCTCGCCGTGGTGTAGTAGGTGCCGCGTGATTCCGCGAGAAGGTCTTCTTGAAGGCGAAACCACCAGGCGAGGACAGCGTCCTGTGTAGGAGGATTGGGAAACTGGGCCCAACTACCGTCGCTGTCTGGGGTCAGTACTCGTCGACAGATGGCATCCGCTCTACCGCTCCAGTCCTTCTCCTCAAAGTATTTGTCAAAGAAGCCCTCCACGTCTCGGAATGTACAGCTACGTATCTCCTCGAAGATTCTCGGATCCACCAAATCACGCGTCTGCTCGGAGCCTTTCTGTGATGACGAGGTGGATTTGACTGGCGTGCCGTCAAATGAGGGGGGGACGCTCGCCGGAGGGGTCGCTCGCGAGATGGTAATGGTGAAGTTGAGGACAGCCTTCCAGATATCGACGCCCAAGTCTCTTTGGATGACGTGCCGCGCCAACGCTCGGCAATGGTCGGGATCCGGAATTCTGGCGGAGGAGTGGTGACCCAATTCGGTCACTGGTCAGATGCTAAACCTCTTTCCGGACTGTCCCACACCAGTACATCTGCAACTGAAGCAGCCCAAATACGGCTATGGAGATATTCAAGTGAGGAATAAAATATCTTAGATGGAATAAGGCAAAATCCCTCCGCCCAAAATAGACAGGGTGAATGCAGAAACAAATCGGCAGGACCTTACTTTAACTCTGAGAGCACACTAAATAGATTTATCGCGGGTGAGGTTTCCAAGTTCAAATTGGGTGATCGCGTCATCGTATGCTTTGATAATTGGATCGTACAAGCGGTTTGGGTTTTGGGGAGTGCCTACGATAAGACCTTTGTCATTGTAAGGAAAGAGAATGTCTCGTAGGGCCCGACAAAGCGGTACAAGGCCACGAAATTTTGGAGGGAACTCCCTCAAAATGAATCCAAATCCCATGTTTTCAGCTTTGCTCATGTGGCCAAGCTTGGCGTTTGCAATGTCCTCATAGTTACCAGTATACCAGGCACGAAGTTTACTATCCCTAGAATGATTATCCTTCCCCCAGCCATTACGGGCGCACTGCCAGATAAGCACGTAGAAAAACGACTCAAGATCATGCCGATATGTATGGTCGATATTAAGTAACACCTCGATCGCCATGAACTCCATCGTGCCGGTCTGGTGCCGCGCGCCACTACGCCCGCTCCCGACTTCTTTGGCAAGATCTAGATCGATTAGCATGCCCGAGTGGCCATCCGTCTTGTCTGGATCGGTTATTATTATGTTGTTCTCCGAAACATCCCGATGAAGGATGTTCCCATCCAGGTAAAGAGAGCGGTGCGCCTTTATTGCATCGCGAAGTGCCTTGAGCAGCTCCAGTGGTGATTCGTACCTGTAGATCGGCCGGCCAGCGGGAGAGATCACGAGACACCGGAGGACACGGTTGTTGTAGAGTTCCTCGCCATTCCTGTCGAAGAGGCTGGGTTTGTGCGCCGACTGAATCGAGAAAGCTAGTTCATCCTCCTCCTGGGTGTCCCTCGGTTGATTGGTGGAACGCGATCGTTTGGTCGTCTGCATCCCCTTATCCGGGGATCTGCGTTTCCTGGAAGATGACTTTCGACGGATATCTAAGCGACGCGGCTCAATGGGCGGCTGAGATTGATGAAATGAGGAGGCTGCGCTGGGGGGTGCGCTTTTGAAGTCGTGGCGCTTGTCGCCGAACGTCAGGCCGCAGCGCATGTCGGCGATGCTAGCGATGGTACTGTGACCGATGATCCTTGCGACTCCTTGGACATTCTTTTGACCTGCTAGCTCGAGGAGTTCCACCTCCGGCCGCCGCTTGTCTGACACCCACGAGAATTTAGCTACGCCTTGTCCATCGTTTGTGAGAAAACACGTGGTCCCGCGACACACGATGGCACGTTGAAAGGAAAGTATTTCACCCAGCCGCAGCACTTTTTCGTCTAACGTCCCAGGCCCTTTGACGGTTATTGATTTGTTGCCGTCTTCATCCCTAGCAATAAAACTATCCAGTCCCAGGTCCTCATCACTCATCATGGTGTACCCGACAAGCACCTGAAAGAACCGTCTCGAGTCCTCATAGACGTCGATGACGCCGGAGCTATAGGGACCCGAACGGTCGAACACCCACGCCTCCATCTTGGTCCCGCAGACGGCGAACGCGTGGACGAACCGCCGGGTGGGCTGGGCGGCAAAGACCTCGCGCACGTAGCGGCTCATCTGAAGCAGAGTGCCTTTGGTCTTGATCTCCTCCTTGGATTTTTTGAGCTCGCCAACTACCAGAATGTCTCTCCAGTCGTGTTTGTTTCGCGAGGGACTCCCACCCCTAGCTCGCAAAAGAAGGTCGACTTGCCGTTCCGCCTTCGAACCAGTAAGATCCGCTTTGCTGGCCGTGGTGTAGTAGGTGCCGCGTGATTCTGAGAGAAGGTCTTCTTGAAGACGAAACCACCAGGCGAGGACATTGTCCTGTGTAGGAGGATCAGGAAACTGGGCCAAATTACCGTCGCTGCCCGGGGCCAATACGCGTCGACAGATGGCATCTGCTTTGCCGCTCCAGTCCTTCTCCTCAAAGTATTTGTTGAAGAAGCCCTTGACGTCTCGAAAGGTGCAGCCACATATCTCCTCGAAGATTCTCGGATTCACCAACTCATGCGTCTGCTCGGAACCTTTCTGCGATGACGAGGTGGATTTGACTGGCGTGCCGTCAAAGGAGGGGGGGACGCTCGGCGGAGGAGTTGTTCGTCGAGGGATGGTGTCAATGAGGGTAAATACAGCTTTCCAAATATCGAAGTTCCAGGTTTCGACGTTCTGGGATTCAGTCGGAGGCCTTTGAATAACCAGGTTCACTAGTGGCCGGTAGTCGTCGTATTTGAGATTTTCTTGTGCCTTTCGGAGACGCTCGACTAAGTGTGCTAGATCAGACACCATATCCCCGTTACTCACTCGCGAGCGAAGGCTGTAAGCTGCATCCTCTCCCTGTAAAGCAGAGAGGAGTTTTGAAATCGCATTTCGATAGAGTTGGCCAAGGCTCTCATCAGCGCCATCGTAGGAAATTAGACGCGACTCATATATTGTTTCAGCTTCCTGAAGCGCGCCTCGTAAACGATCAACTAAGTTGGTGAGAGGATGGTTCTTGATAATGATGCGATCTTCTTGCGAAAGTCCCGCCATTTTGACGGGATAAAAGACCGTTGAGTTGGTGTGAGATTAACTAGGAGTTGTAAGGGGAGAAAAATTAGGTCGGTATGCTAATATTATGTGATGGGAAGCAAACAGGGGAACAAAAATGCAGAATTATTAGGAAGTTATTATGTATGATACGTCTGAGAGAGGATAGCTCGCAGGGAACAGATGGAGTATAATCAAAGGGAGGAATATGGTCAAAGGTTGATCCGGTTTGGCTTTGATGCACAACACGAATGTGGGAACGGATAGAGCCGCCGAACAAGGAACCAGGCGAAGATTAATCCTATGTGAACGCGACGGAAGGTACCAAGCGCGAACAAAATATTGAAATCGTATGTTGAGGAGGTTGGCTATTCCCATTTAGGATTAATGTACGCCACCCAACCCGTCGCGTGGGAGATGTGGTAAGAGCGTGCTGGCTGCCAGGAAGAGCGCATCAGGTATTAGTAATCGCTGTACTTAAGCTCAAGCCTTCTCGTTGGTTAGTGATTGACGTGATTTCCAGTTGGAAACGATACCGGCGAATGAGACTTTTTTGTAATTAGTGGCTTATGTAGATTGGAAATCGTCAATATGGTAATTATCTCTTTCTTCAATAACCGTCCATATAAAGCCAGTATTGGGTTTTTATGACAGTAGGAAAAAAGGACACTGATGTAGTTCACCTGCTGGCTACGTTCCGGTTTCCGGATTGCACTTCATTGGCGCAAGCAAGAAATTTAAACGTTGGCTAGCGGCATAGCCTGCAATTTCAAGAACCGGAAGGTTCGAATGTGCATTTTTCTCTACTCTTTCGCTTTCGGCCTTTTGCCCGCGCTGCTGAGCTACTGTAGCACAATCGGACTGAATGGCTACGCCCGTGAATAGCGAGAGGGAGAAGGTGAATATATTACTGCGAAAACGGGGTTATCCCGCGCGATGGATGGCCGGAGCAACATTCTGAACTCCGGATCAAAGTTTTCCCTCGCGCGATTGGCCAGTCATTTTCTGAATGCCCCTCAATAGTTTGCATCAGCGCCATGCCCCTCACCACGCCCTTATCTTTCGTCGGGCGCTCCTTCCATATTAGATGCTGATGGGCACAGGGCAGATTTTTTTTTTCTCTCTTTCTCTCATATTTTGTGTCATGTCTTCTAATCACGATCCTGTGGAAATAGCACTAGGAGATGAGCTGGAAGGGATGTTACAGGACGTATGGATGGCGGAAGCAAAAAGATTTGCTGACACTACTGTACGCGGTAGTTCTGGAGTTTCGCGCTGCCCTACGCCTGCAGGCTGTTGGCGAATATCACAAAAAATCCAAGACAATTTAAAGGTCAGTAGCCGAATGGCATATATTAAAGATTTGATCTGATTGAAATGTAGATTGAAATGAAGAATCCCTACACAATAGATTTGGCTGTGTGTTTTCCTGGAACCTGGACAATCGGGACGCTCTACACAATACTAGTTCCTTTGAATTTCGACGGCACGCCAAAGGTTGGCGGAGAATTGATAAAGTATGGCTATTGTTACCAGATACATAAAGAATGCCGGGTGGAGGTCCCTGGGAATGGGAAGCTTGTTGCCATTGTGATCAGATCTCATTGAACTAGTCTGGTAAGCCCTCTTTAAAGTAAAAATCGCTGTTTTGAAGCGCAATGTCCATGTCTGACCAGCCCAGAAACAACGTATCGTCCTGCAGAGCTCTATCCATGTCTGACAAATCTGTAGGAGGTGGGAGCTCATTTTCATTCTGGAAAGCTACATCAGTATCATGCATATGCCGGTTTGGAGATGTTCGTGCGTCGGAGATTGTTTGCCCGGAAGGCAAAGTGGCGGATGTAGAGTTTGTGTATTCAATTCCGTTTTCTGCATTACTAGAATCACTCTCTGTGAGGTGACTTTCCCTGTCTGTATTTAATCGTGATATGAAGGTGTCGTGAATATTAGTGATAAGGTTAACATCATATCCGAGGCTAGAGCATATTTCGGGCATCCTGGAACTCGTTAGTAACGTTATTCTCCAGAATAATATGGAATTAGGAGCTCACTCAATATTATCACCAACCAAACTCTTGATGATGCTAGGAATACAAAATGGTATAAATCCATCCTTGCATTGAGGTACTTCCGCTGCACCCAATCGCTCAGTGAACATTTTGTGACATTCTTCCGGTGCGTCTGTAAACCGCGCGTAAAGGTGAGGGCGCCGGGCGCCTGCAGCCAGCTGGTTAGTAGTGGTAATGAAAACAGTGTTCCAAGGAGTATTTCGACGAACATATAACAAAGATTTCCCAGCTCTTGTGGCCCCAACCCCGCTCTAGCAAGTGGGATATACATTGATTCACAAACATACAGCCCCGGCGATACCGCTTCAAGTTCTTAGAACTCGAGTCGCTTATATAGCGGCGCATCATCCAGTCGATCGTCTCAACTGAATTACCCATGTAGAGCAAAATAATACAATAATTGATGAATATAAGTTTTTGGAATTTAAAGACCAGCGAGGAGAATACCGCATTCAATTCAGTCTCAATTGAAAGCCTTCCATACGAGCACGCATCATAGATCATCTCTTTGTTGTCCGCAGCATTGAGTGTAGGGAGCGGATCACCTCTGGCGCTGTCATTTTTCACAATGCGATTGTTCTCTGGCGATCCGCCGAGCAGAATGCGTATTGCAGCTTGGTTATTCGCAACATCATTAAATCCAGCTTCTTTCTTTCTTTCATCCCACTTATCCATAGGTGGAACGGAGGCTAAAAATTTGTTCGCATCTGTTTTCCACTGAGGTATTGCATTAGGCAGCTTCTGCTTTTTCTTCGGAGGGTCGCCAAGAGTTTGGTTATAGACCACAATTTCACATGCTTGAGCCGTATTATTGTTTTGGATGTTCGAAGTTGGGTTTGAGCAGATCGACTGTAAGCACTGAGCGGCCTCATTGCCTCTTGTGCTTATAGGATGATTGGAATGTGTTTCATTCCCTCGAAAATTCCAGGAAGAAGTCGAGCTTTGGTATGGTGATAGAGGGCCATCATTGTGTCTAGGGTTCCCGATATGCCCGGAAGATGTTCTCTTTCGGGAAAACAAAGAGGATGGGTTTGGAAGTGAGGGCCGCGGTTGCAAGCATAGAGTGTCCTCATTGCTGCTTGTGCTTGCAATATGAGTGAATGGGGTTGGGGAAGGACAAGGAGCGGTTGCGTTAGGCTCACAGCGGGCGGAGTAACTGGAGATTGTAGATGTTTGAAAGCACAACTGGCGTTCAACAGACAATAATCTTGATTCAAGAAATTTGATATACTCGGTATCGCTGCCCCGAAAGTCGAACAGTCGATAGTTATTCTCCATCTTCACTGAATCTGGGTGGAGAAATGGTTTGGGCGAAAACACCCATCAATAATGAATATGTTTCTGGACTAGCGTTACTCTTGTCTCCGATAAGGTGAGCCGCTGGCTGCCAATAATGCTTCACTCTTCCACTTCATTCGCCGAGATGACGATGGCACGGGTGGCCTCTCTTTTTTTAGGTTTGATAAATGAACCGAGCTCCTATTAGTTGCTCAGAGGATCGCACTCGGAATTTAGTTCGCTTTTGTATAGACTAGAGCGATCCATGGATGTGATATCGAATCCCAACAGGACCAGCTGCGCCGTGATGGCCTAGGATCCGGCAAGAGTGATGTTGAGCCCGAAAATGGACTCTTTTTGGATTTTCTTTTGCCCAATGCAGTTGTCGATTGCCGCTGGTGTACCATCACCTAGCTATCTATGCCATTGCAGTATGTGCGGGATGCATCGGAACGACCAGGAGCATGCGAAGTGCAGTTAGGGGCGCCAGGCTGTGTCGAGGGCACTGCTTGCGTCGATCACCGTGGGATCGCGAGTGCGATATACATGTCCAGCTTGAGTCCGTGCCATCCCATGCAAAGGGATCACAACAGATTTGTACAGACCCCGGACACCGTCCAAAATTTGCTGGAGTGAGGATGGCATATCCCCTTGAATCGAAAAAGCCCCATTCGAGGCGCACAGAGAGTGGCCGCCCGATAGTTATAAACCACAAGACATCACTCCCCGACGGATCATTTCAAAATGGACCACCTTGGCTGCCTTTTCTTGCAAAATGTATCCTAACATCTCATATGCGCTTCTGTCGGCGGCGCTCATCGTGCTAAGTATGGTGCATCTCATCCTGCTTACCGTTCACCGCCCCCATCCTCACTGTTTGTCTGAGATATCAATCTTCGTTCTCTTTATCTGCGTCAATGCTGTTGTCATTGGCATTGGTCTATCAGGCTTAAGGCGCGGGGGTGAGCAGTCCCTTCTACCGAGATGGTGATGATAAATGCTAAAAGCTTGTCAGATACGCCGGCATTTTACTATCCCTTGGGAATATGTACAGCATTCCCGCTAGCCCTAGAGGTTTGTTATTCCCAGCCCCTTTATTTCATCCTCGCTAACTGTGATGTCTAGATGATCCGGCAGACCAAAATCCAGGCTGGACCACTTAGGAACGCCCTGCTGCGTCGATTATTTCTAGGATATGGTTTTCTGTCCCCGGCGGTAAAGCTCGGGTTGATCTTATGGTGTGTGTGCTCTTCTCCCCGATCTTGATAGGCCTTGTGCTCATTGAGTTAGCTCGGCCGCCTACGAGGCGTCGGTGAAAGGTACAGCTGTGGTCGTGTCTATCGACTACACGGTACTTGTGATTGCCGGTCTGCTTTTTTGGCGCGGAATTCGCGGTATACCATCTCAGGGCCCCGTAATCCGTGAAGTTACAATCCATGCACTTCTTGTTCTCGTAACAGCAGGGTTTGCCGCAGGTGGACTCGTCCACGATTGGCCCCTCTGGATCGAAGTAAGTTCAGTGAAACCATGGCTCTCGCTCCAACATGTGCTGACATGGCTCCAGGCGATGTTGATTATCACTATTAGTGCCTATATGGCTCGAAATATTTCCACTCATTCTGGCAAACCGGGGAACACTGTGCCGTTAGCGAACTTCACAGACAACACATCCGATTTAGGCCAGCTCAGCCCCCACCAAGAAAGTCGTTCTGCTCGCCTCCCTTTCATGACCGAGGAAAGCTATACACAACTAGACGAGGTTCGGACGGCTCGCCCTGAATCAGCACATCTGGTACGTCACCCTCCCCTGTTTCTGCCCTGATGGTCTAACAGTAATTTCCAGAAAATTAAGACGGTGGCCTCAATTTACTATCCGAACCAGCCAATCTTGGAAACGGGCATATTTACTGTATTATGTGAGGGATCTGAGGGGGACTATCGGCGGGACCTGCGATATGATGAATTGACTGCTTGTAGCGACGGGAAAGCTGCGCTTCAATCGTACCGGCTAGGGTACAGATTGCACTGATCCATGGACGCCTATATAGTTTCTCAGTTCCCTTGTACATTTGACTTTTCCCTGGCCACGTTGAATAGTTTAGCTATTTCCGTCTAAATAAAATACCATAACAATACTAATTGACCTAGCTTCCGGGTTTCATTTCCATTCTTGCCTTTATTGAACTGATTTTCGGCTCCGCGTCTAGCGCAATTGCACTCCCATCTTACAAATCTCGAATCCCCACGGGTTCGCCTGTTGTCGCGTCGGGCTCATCTGAGTAACGGAAGCATCTTCCGCAATAGCAAGTCCGCCAAACAGGATATTTACGGGTTCGGATCAGCAATTTTTCCGACGGTCTAGATTTGACCCTATCAGCTTTCATTTTGTCTGGGGGCGAGGCACAATTAGCGTCATTTTCCTCGCCGCCTTTTTAGCCAATTAAAAGCGGTGGCAGAAAGACGCGCGCTAATTGTGCCCTGCCCCCAGACGAGAAGATAGTACCATCCAATCTTCCTATTTGCCGTCTTGCTAACTATTATTCTTCACTCATTGGAGCGGCAACTCCTCCCGCCTACGTCGAGCATACACACTCTTAATGATGATTTTTCGAACTTTTTTAGCACCATGTTTAAGTGTGCCCCTGCCGTGTCCACGCGCATTGCTGACCGGGAAAACTACACACGAAGAATCGACGGGTGGGCTGCTAAAAATGAGATGCATCGCTCATCCCATTTGCACACTGGTTGCACGCACTGGTCCCATAACTGGTACACTGTAGGCCATTAGCGTAGACCAAGGGCCGAAGGCATATAGTGTTTTTGACTTTTTTTTTTTGATATATATTCTTTCCCCCTTGTATAAGAATGCTTGATTGCCCCAGTATGTCTGCCCTGAATCGTTCAACCAGACCTTTGCTCCTACGGAAGTTCTTCCACTTCCAAAGCACGCACATATAACGTCGTCGGCATTATAAACTATCACAAGAAGATAGGTAAAGAATCCCTTACACACCGCAATGGCAACTACACCCCCCAAACCGCCTCCTAATACCCCTACCCACCGTACGGCCGAGGCTGCGACGCATGAAAGGGAGTGCCTGAATGTTTGTAGAAGGCTTCTTTCTTTGTGTGTGACTCTTCTTGGAGTCGACCCCCCAATGGTTAGATCACTTCGCGGAAAGCTAGCAGAGGTTGTATCTTGGACAAAGGATGATTGGGAACTGAGATGGTCCCGCGAGCTTGATATCGACGATTATGCTCAACTCTGCTACTGCCTCGATGAGTTCAAACAATTCAATCACTTGGACTTGTCCGCCGAGTTACTGGAGAAGCAGCACAAGACACTGCTGAGCAGGCTTTTGGGAGAACCACAGAACGAAGCATTAAACCCAGACTTCACACCGATGGGAAACGTCATATTACTTTGCGCCGCTGTTGGAGTCTTTGCTATTCGTCATTCGCTCACAGACATCAAGCACCTCCGTCGACAGAATCCCTCGATTCACTACAGCATGGATGACTTCACTCTTGACCTGAACAAATCACCCTTATACGCTGATGGTATTACCACCGAGGAGGCAGAGAAGCACCTTTCAGATAATCTCTCAATGTGCTCCCCGGCCGATGACGGGATTGAGATAATTTGGGAAAACGAGAATCCGAGACCTAAAGTCCGAATTACGAGCAATGAGATCCTCGATGCAGTGTCGGTACCTAGCAGACACACACGCACCTTGGATCAATACCAACCCCCGGGTGCTATCTACCATGATCTTCTCAATGCTGGTTCCCCGTGTAATCAACCCTTCGCTGCAGCAATTCAAAGGATTCGAGAGGCTCTGGACCAAGAACTGGATAAGATGAAAACCAAGGGCGACATAGGCAAGCATTATTGGACGGAAATGATCTATCGCCGGTTTTTAGGCTCCTATAGAGTCCATCATGTTGGAGAAAGTGTCCTACCCGCGGCTGAAGATACAGGCACTACCGAGGCCATTCTGTCCGGAATCTCTCCCCAGGATAGAGGTTTTCTTCTTCGGTTCGCATCCCGTGAGGTGAACAATCTTACCGCTGTTACATTCGAAGATATTCAGTACCTTTACCGACGCGGGGCTATCTTTTTGAGGAACCATGGGGAAACAGAGACATCTGGATTCAATGCTGAGACAAACCTCAACCATGCCGGCTTAACTATTCGGAATCGAAACGGGGAACCTGTTCAGAATAAGGTCCTTGGTTAAACTGATGATGTTTGTAAGATGGGAGTGCAATTGCGCTAGGCGCGGAGCCGAAAACCAGTTCATGTAATCTATTTCACAAGGGGATTAGCGTTGCAGAAACGAAACTCAATTCAATTGGCTGGGGTACATTTTCGGGGGGTTCCTGGATCAACAGTTTTTCCGACTTAGATTTGACCCGATCAGCTTTCAAGTCAGTACCAACAATTCAAGATGTAGAATGTATATGATGCGATTGATTAAGTCCGCTGTTCATCTGCCGACACAGCTAATTATGACTACACCCTTTGTCCACCGAGGGCGGCTGGGGGGGAGGAAGATAACTTCACTCTTTAATAGATAATCAAGGGCCAGCTCTGGTTGGGCGAAGCGAAGAGTACTTCCCAAAACAGGATACCTGCTATCCGTGCCTTTTTGCATAACCCGATGTAGCCCCTGCAATAAGAACCAAGCTAAATGTTTTCCTCTCGTGTTTCGATGATCAACACTCCTCATCCAAGTGAAATCTCCAGGAAACACCCTCCCAGAGCGGGCCGTGGCATGGTGGGAATGGAAATGCTATACCTCCGTGGGGTATGGATGGCCATGGACATACTGGTTCCCAGTTGGGTTGGGCGAAACGAAGATCCGAACCGTTTGTTCCGTGCTAACAAATTCCAGGAGCTCAGTCTGAGTTCCCCGGGCGGGAAGCAATGCAGTCAAGGTAAGGCTGGCTTGCACTCTGGACCTTGTTGTGTCTCTTGCTAGATTCCATAAAGAGAGGTCTTGCACCCACCCTTCTCCCATCTTGTTCTCTACATACGTCGGAAACGACGCTAGCCGGCATGGGATCACAGAACCCCAATCTCAACCATCTCCTTGGCCCCCGTTCCAAAAGAGTTTTTAGCTGCTTTCTAGTTTTTACCCTTCCTTTTATCGTGCTTGGTGTTGTCTTCTGGGCAGTTGCAATAGCCGCGGTGTGGTTACCTGTCCAGTTGGCCAAATTATTTCTTCGACGACTTCAGCACACGAACCGTTTTTGACCCTGTTTCAGTGAACCAGTCTCTATCTACCGGTCAGACACGCTATTCTTTGCCGGGTGGCGAGTTGCAGAGAATGGATGTCCGATTTCTGTTGAATCCTCCAGATGAGGGAGAGAGGACGGTGATCGCTGCTGCTGCATTAACAGAGTTGAGGTACAGGCCTCAGCCTCTGTTCCAGAGCCAGGTCAATTTTCCGCAAAGGGTAAGGCCAAGAAGCTTCGACGCCAGCTAAATGGAAGTACTAATCGGAATATGAAGGAAAATATCACTAGACTACCCGTTGAACTGAAACGGCAGATTGCGGGCCACCTGAACACGAAAGACATCGCACATCTAGCCCGTACCTGCAAATCCTTCCGCCTCTCGATCGAGCCATGTCTTTATGAGGCAGTGAACTTGGACGCCTCCAAGAAAGCATATCTGCATGTGTTAAAATTGTCAGCAATGATCAATAAAGATTCAACCCGGGCTGGACACATCAAAACACTCAAGATCGGTGATCTGAGAGAAGAGGATACCAGACAGGTGGACGAATTGGACGAATTGGTGAAAACAGCGGGATGGGAGACCAGCCCATCAGCGGATGAAAGCGTCGCACGCTTGCTATCTCGATTGGGCAGCCTTAGGTCATTTTGCCTTAACCACCTTCATGGCGAGGTGCATCTAGCCACCTTTAACTTTGCCACGCTGCCAACCCTCACCACGCTCAAAGTGCCGGCGGAATCCCTAGTATCGCGTCAATCGCCACTGATCAACCATCTGCCTCCCGCATTGGAATGTCTTTATGTGAAAGAGGCGAATGATGAAGCGAACGAAGACACCTTGCCCCAATTGCTGATAGACTATATCACCGCAGCTTCAGCAAGGTTAAAGCTGGTATCCATCCAATCATATGCTGAATATTGGAAAGACAGAGCCGCCTCGTTGGACAACGCGTGTAAAAATTGTGGAGTGAAACTAAAACTTCAATATCGAGTAGGAATGCGTGAAGTCTGGACTGCCGGTCGTATCGCGATTCTGAAAACTCATGGAATAGAGGGTCGTTGGCAGTCAATGCCGCTCAATCGTTGAAACCGATAAGTGAATAGGGCGAAAGAGGTTCCGTCACTGGTTGTAACATGGGTTGCAGGGTGGTTGATATACAAGCCTGGACGCTCGTAGTTCCAAATTCCTTATTTCATGTTGTTCGTCGCTATCTGATTTTCTGTCGTTTGTTCCTGGTTGTGATTTTGTTAAATCAAAGAAAATTGATTGGTTACTCAAAAATAGAACATCCTTGCTCTAACATCAAGGAAGAAATAGTGCATCCGGAAAATTAGAATTTCCGGATGCTGAGTTTCTACCCAAGCTATTCATCCCCAATTACACTTCTCTCAGACCACAAAAGAGCTTGAACCTGAACTTTGAGAGTCAAATCTAAATATACTTATATGACCCGGGAAACTCTACTGTGCAGTGGAGGCTCATTTCATTCAGCTATCCATGCTTGGACGCTTGATCCCGCAGATGCACAGTTTTGGCACCGGCGCCTTTGGTATACACAGCTGGAATAATCAAGGGATGGACTCCCATTGCAACTGATGACTTGTACGGGTCTATATCCTGACAGGGGATGGCCCCTGCTGCGAGTACTAAGCCAAATGTTTGGTTCTCGCTTGTTTTGGATAATCGAATATATTCTTGACACCTTATCGCTGACCCGGGAAACTATACACGGCTAGAATCAAGGGATGGGCTCGCGTGGCTTGTACGGGTCACAATCACACGCATAGGTTATTTATATGATCTGTACTTTTTAACTTACCTTTCTATCTGCAGCGCTCTTGGGGCGCTTTACAATTTGACGCTCTGCTGGGCGCCTGGCAACTTCCTCCCAATGGGTAACAAGCGTGGATGGCAGGCCTGTATTTGCACAAGGCACCGGGCTAGTGGTGATCGTCCAAAACAAGCGAGAGACAAACATTTGGTTTTCACTGGATCATCAGACTGGGGTGACGGAGATTGTGATCTCTGGCGGCTGTGTTTTTCTGATTGATGCATCTTGTCCGCTCGCTCGTTGCCTTGTTTGAATGCTGGCTGGCCATCCATGCATTCGTTTGCAGTTTTGGCACCGGCGCCTTACGTCGACCCGGGAAACGATACACCGCTGGAATGGGCTCCCATTGCAACTGGTGGCTTGTACGGGTGCATATCACGTCCCCTGCACCAATACCAAGCCAAATTTTTGTTTCTCGCTTGTTTTGACAATCCTTGCCTCAAATGCAGGCCGGCCATCCACACTTGTTACTCACGGGAGGAAGTTGCTCCTGTGGCTGCATGGATATTGTCATTTAGTCTTTTTTGCCTCGTTATGCACATGCGCCCTGTTACATACATGCACACCAGGGCTTTATTGTTGACCCGGGAAACTATACACGGCTGGAATCGGGGGACGGGGGACGGATTTATATCCCGACGGAAGATGGCCCTGCAGCGAGTACTGAGCCAAATGTTTATCTCTCGCTTGATTTGACGATCACCACTAGTCTGTTGCCTTGAGGTGGGCCGGTCATCCACTCTTGTCTCCTATTAGAGACATACAACTACGCCTTGGTTACGTGTCTGCGTGATTTTGCACGAGCGCCTCATGATGGCCCAGAGAGAAGTGAGTATGGCTATGCGGCTTGGCGTCCGGTGTTTTCTGTTTTCGCCTTTCTGGCTGCAGGCATAAAAGGATAGGAGCAGCCCATAATATCTTGGCCTGTATTTTGATATGCGGCACCGCAAGATTCCTCACAAGATTCCTCACAATATTTTTCCCCCTACAATATCGAACCGACATCCCTACGCCACGAACTGTTCCCAAAATCAAGAACAATGGCAGCCATCACCGACCCGTCTGCCATAGCCAAATCTCGTATAGCGGCCGTGGCGAGCATGAAACGCGAGGTGGAACACTTTACGAATATTAAAAAGCTCCTTGAGGAAGCACAGGACCAATTCTGCGAATTAATATGCGACGATGATGACGTTGGAGTCGCCTATCTAACACTGGAAGAGGCTCAGGACCTCGTCCTGAATGGCAAGGCAACAAAGGAAAGCCACATAGACGAAGAAGAAGCTGTGCTCGTGGAACTTTTTGCCGCCGACGATGTCAGTCGCACGACTAAAGCGGAAATATATGCTTGCGTCAGTCGCCTCCAAGCCGACCGAAGAAAATGCGAAGACGAACGTCAACACATTGACAGCCATGGTTACAGCGGGAATCAGAATGATGAAGACTCAGGCTGTAATTTTGACAATAAAAATGACAACAAGGTTATGGATATGGGATTCAAGGCTGGATAAGATGGAAATGGAACTGGAACAATTGCAGCACTTGCTTTGCACTTTCTCCTCCTGTTTAGCTCCCTTCCTTTTGGGAGCTTGAAGCGGGAGTTTCAGGAAATGGATTTTACAAAACGTTTAAGGACTGATGCAAGGCTCTGTTTGAAGTTCTGTTGTACATGCGTCGTTTGTTCCTGGTTGATATCAAAGGAAATTGATTGGTTACTCAAAAATAGAATATCCTTGCTCTACACCAATGAGGAAATAGAACATCCGGAAAATTAGAAATTCCGATCTGAATGTTGAAGTAGTTCAAGAAAACTTAAGCTTTACACTTCTATCGAACCACAGTCTTCCTGGAAATTTCCCTTGCTCGTGTGAATATTCCCAATTTCCTATTGTATGTTATTTGATGTGTTAGCCTTATGTCAAAATAACAACTGCGCGCACAACTGTTGCATGCATGCACCAGGGCCTTATTGCTGACCCGGGAAACTATACACAGCCAGAATCGAGGGATGGCTTGTATAGGTGCATATCCCAACGGAAGATTCCCCTGCACCAAGCGTGAGAAGCGGTCTTGTCATTTAGGCCTGCATGAGCTTGGCTTCTAAAATGATTCCGGGTTTGGTAGTGTGTGGTTTGGGCATTTACAATGCAAAAACAGTATCTTCCCCCATAATTTGCCTGATTGCTAACTCATCTTTAAAGTTGCTGCCAATCGCACCTGGAAGAAGCGCAAAAGGACCAGCTGCGCCGTGATGGCTTAAAAACCAGGAAGATGAGGAAGAGGAGGTCCATGCTTGGCTGGTTCCCAGTTGGGTTGGGCGAAGTGAAGATCCGAACCGTTTCCATGCTAACAAATTCCAGGGGGCTCAATCTGAGTTCTTTGTACAGGAAGCAGTCAAGGTAAGGCTGGCTTGCACTCTGGACTTTGTTGTGTCTCTTGCTAGATTCCATAAAGAGAGGTCTTGCATCATACCAATAATAGCCGTACAATTGGGGTTCGATACCGCAGCGTTCGATGTATGTCTCTGGTCAGATGTCCAAGGCAAATCGGAGGTTCCGGGATATGTTGGTATTTATTCTTTGGTCCCACCGCGTGAGGCCGGTTTCTACGGATCTCCTCTGCTTCCATGTTCGTGGTGATTGTATATGAAGGTGTCTGGTGCAGGACCGGCCTTTGTTTGATTTTCTGTTGTAGTTCAATAATTGATGGAAGTTAGTCAAATTTTGTAAACATCGCTAGCCATACATCAATGGGAAACGTGGAGGGCAGGGGCCATTTCTCCGAGCCTGCTCAATTCGCCCTTATCCATCCGATCCCTGAAATTGTCCCTAGCAGCCTACGAGTCCGTAAAATGGTGCGGTCTTTCACGGTCACTCCTCGTCTGTCTGGAAAGGGGACCATTAGCGTAGACGGGGGACTAAAGGTATATAGAGCCAGCCCCACTTTGCTGAGGTCGGTGTAGTCACGTGATGAGCTATGATGCGTGTGCCATGGGAATTGGGTGCAAGCATGCCATGCTCCATCTTCCATCAAATACAGATGATTTTTGCCAGCAGAATGAGTAAGTAACATCGCTCTCTTTATGACTTGGTATCTGACAGTTATCACAGAGTTGGAATTCTTCGTCACCTCACAAGCCAACCCGCCAGAAACCCTCTCGCATAGAGAGAGCCGCGAGCTGTGCAAAACCATCGAGTTGATATACGCGCGATTGATTATTGCAGAGGACATCATCAGCGCTCTAGAAGCAGGCCATTATTTGGAAGAGGCATTCGGCGGTCGCATTTGCAGCTTAAGGGATATAAAACGGCGCCTACGACCATATCAGCAACATGACCGACACGAGTCTCGGCCACACCTGCACAAGTGCCCTGCTGCACGATGTCAGCACCAGTTTGAGACTGCCGATAACCTGCCACGGCATATCCGATATACAGCTGATCTTAGCCACCGGTTTGACAAAGAGATACTGGACGGGAGATACTGTTTTCAGTGTGGGAAAGAGTTCGCTTCAGCCAAATCTCTTTGGTTGCACGAGAAAAACGATCATTTAGAATCGAGCCGCTCCAGGATTGATGCTTTTAGGCAATTGCGCAGAGCTTGTGAGTTCCATTGCTCGTTCGAATAGCACCCACACTAACAGAGACAGTGTCCCACGTCGAACTACCGGCCACAGCACAACATCCAACTTGCTGCCCGTCAAGGTAGAAAGCAAAATCAGCAGTGCGTATCTGAAGAACAGCGTTCTGACCCGCAACCAGTTGTTGAAGGGACCGCGGCGGACAAAGTTGACGAGCTTCCCTTTCATGTCGTAATGCAGCCATCGTCGACCGGCTCCGAAATGTCTGCCTTTGATTACAGTGTCAATTCCATTGCCGATCCCAGTTCAATTCACTCTTCATATATCGGCCCCAGCGGATCCATCTTCGACTACAGTGTTGATTCCATGGCTGATTTCAGTTCAATTCACTCCTCGTCTATTGGCCCCAGCAGACCCATCTTTGACGACAGTGTCAATTCCATTCAGGTGTTTTATGAGACATGGTCAGCGGTCGCTCCATAAACAGCTCCCCATCAGCTTATACCCCATGGATTTAAAAGCTAACTTTTAAAGGTCAACTTCTAAAAGTTAACTTTCCCACCCACCCTCCCCTGTGGGCGCTCCTCCCCTGTGGGCGCTCCTCCCCTGTGGGCGCTTCTCCCCCTGTGGGCACTCCTACCCTGTGGGCACTCCTACCCTGTGGGCGCTCCTCCCCTGTGGGCGTTTTTCCCCTGTGGGCATGCACTTAGTTCTTTCGGATTAGAAGGAGTTGGGTGCCCGCTGGAGGACCTTGACTACCATCTAGACATTTCATGTACACTACAGCTACGAAATGGAACGGATGATAAAAAACCCGGGCGAGAATTATGATCAAAACACTCAAATACAAATATTATATGAATACAGCATGGAAATTGCGTAATGATCCACCGGGCCACGTGACACCTTCGGATGCAGAAGGACCAAGAATAATATGGCTGTGATTTGACCATGGCGGTGATAAGACGCTCCTAACAGGCTTTGAGCCAGTGAATGAGAGTCTGGTGCCTTCAGAAGGGTGGTGATAGATAGACTGAAGGCAAAGGGCAGGGATAATGTAAAGAAGAGTTAAAGTTTTAATAATACCGAAAGGAAACCGCACAGCGCGAGCGGTCCCGACTTCGCTATCCCATCATTGCGTGGGACCGCCTCGATGATCGGTTGACTCAATTCCATCCTCGCCTGCACCAGCTCCTTAATGATTCTGGGTACCGCTCCCGCTATAAGAGTGTTGTGCTCGAGAAAGTGCGGAGGCATGGCAGAAAGATCCTCTCCCGGAGTGTCCTGCACAGCACTGGCTACTATGGCCTTAGAGGCCATGAGATCCTGTGCGTGAAGAAACCCACCCCCCCCCCACCCCCGCGACCACCGAGGAACCTCTTCACTGACCTTCCCCCTCAGCTCAACGGCATGTCGTGTCTCACTTTAAAGATGCCATCGACTCACTGGGCGGGATCGATGGCGTGGTGTCGAAGTATGGGACCGTTGTGTATGCCCAGGAGGTCTTGGTTCCCGAACTGGTGGAGATGTTGGTTCAGGAGGACATGGGAGTCGATGCCAAAGGGGCCCGCCGGATTCTGAAGGAGAGCAACGAGATCGGGAATTTGCTTAATCTTGAGTGGATCGGGAACATGTAGTTATTGATTAACATATTGATTTAACGCAACCCAATGACCAGCATTGTAACTACCTTAGTGAATAACGTAGCCATCAGAACATATCTTTTGGGTGACTCTCTAAACTGCCCTCGCTGGTTCTACCCACAATTTGGTAGTGATTTGAACATTGTTATTTCTGATTTTTTACTTAATTTCCTGCTTTGCAGGAAACGCCCATCTTTGCATCCACTCAGACTCAACAACATCCCGAATAGTAGCCCTGTCGCTTGGTAAATATTGAAGCATCATCCAAATCATATGTAGGAAAGCCTTCTTCTCATCCTCCCCCTGCTCTTCCATGTCTGATCGCCGCCGAGCCGCGTTAACGAACCAATCGTACCGTTCTTCCACATTCAACCACTGTCTTGACAACTTGCTCAGGAACTAGTTTATATTCCTCTTTGAGGAACAATTGAAGGGCAAGTCTGGTGCCAGCGCCACCGGTTGTCCTACGGTAGGTAGGTGTTGACTAATCCATATCAAGGTGCTTATGTGAGCTGGTACAGATACTCAGATAGGTCAGTTTAACCTGTGTCGGCTGACCTGTGCCGGCTGACCTATACCTATTACAAACACAGAGCAGCAGCCACAGGCCCTTCACCGGTCTATGACTTTTGACCGAAGTAGCCTGTGAATACAAACCTCAGCAGGCCCCGTGGCAGGCAAACCAGTGCACTCCCCAACCCATGCCCGCTGTTACATTTGTAGATAGTTTCTAGGTTAATCTTGCGTCCTCGCTTTTTTTGCTACTTGTTCCGCAGGCTTTGACCTGTTAGAAATGAGTACTGACTGTCTGTCTGTAGTTGCTTTCTTCTGAACCAAGTGAACCGTGTTTGTTCCATCTTCTCTCGCTACCCGAAAACGGCGGAAAAGAATTTACCCTCGCAGGTGATGTATAGGGATCCAAGGTTAACTATGTGGGTCCGTACCAGCCACGCCAGATCGCCAGATCGCCGGATCATCGTTTGTATTCAGCCAAGATCCTGAGAAAACACTTACAGGAGGTCTGTAGGAATAAAATGATTCTCTTAAGTTGCTGTGCGACTCAGTTAGCTCGGCTTGAGATATTTTTAGACACATGAAGTTACTCGATTCGAGTGAGAGTTCTCAAGTCCCCAATTTTCACATAGGCATTCTCTTGTATTACTATCTGAGATACGAAGGCCTTGTCAGATGCTAGAACACATGGATTTTTTAACAGCTTTTAAATATTGTGAAGTTTGGCCATTAAAGAGTATTTATTTAGAAAGCCTCTTCTGTGACAAGAATCCTCCCGGGAGAATCCTCTTGTGAGGAAATGGCTCATGAAAACAAATGCCTAGACCGCTTTTCCACACATGCACGTCAGGCCACGCAAACCAACCAAATCACGGCTTGGCGCCCTTCTGGTCCGGACCGCGATGAGCCAGTATTCAAAGGCATCTACCTCGACTCCGACAGGGCCAGAGCCATAGAGAGAGCTACGAAAATAATGGAAAACCCAGCCAAGGCAGTCTTCACTGATGCCGCAAAGGAGAACTCGGCGCTTGGAGCAGCGGCGCTGATCATGGACGAATCATACCACATCCAGTATGGCATACAAGTTGGTGTTGGGCGAGAAAAGCACTGGACTGTCACAACGGCTGAGCTGCTAGCAATATACCATGGACTCTACCTGGTATGGAGATCTCACTCAAGTGAGGGGACACCGCCCCCCCACCAACGCCACACATACACCATCCTCAGCGACTCCCGTACCGCTCTTCGAGCCATCGCAAACGCCTCAAAACAAGTCGGAGGACAGATAATCCAGAACATTCTGCACACAACAAAAGAGCTGAGATCCATAGGCGTAGACCTCTGCCTCCAGTGGGTACCAGGGCACAGTGGAATCAAGGGAAATGAAATGGCCGACCAGCTCGCCAAGCAGTCAATCAACCCAAACCCAACGCATGGTTTCCCAAAGCCTGCCTCACACCTTAGGGAAGCCAGCCGCAACAGCACCACACAGGAGTGGAGAGATGAATGGTCCTCAACGGCAAAGGGGACTCACCTGCGGAAGATAGACGCAGCCCTCCCGGGCCGACATGCCCGCCGTCTATATGCCACCCTTCCAAGGCCTCGAGCAAGACTCCTGGCGCAACTCAGAACGGGCCACTCATGGCTGAATGAATTCCGAAACCGAATAAAATACGCTGACGACAACAAATGTGAATGTGGAGCAAAAGAATCGGTCCATCACGTCCTAGTAGACTGCCCGAGACTGCAGCAACAACGTCGGGTTCTGCGACAAAAGATCGGGGACAGGTTCAACAATATCTCCCTGATGCTAGGGGGTAAACCACCAAACTGGACAATAAATGGGACGGAATGGAAAATCAGTAGGGGAGACCTCGATGCGATCCTAGACTTCGCTGAAAGCTCGGAAAGATTCCAAGGCAGAGACAACTAGAGTAGATCACTCACAGGCCCCGACGAGGCATTAAGATCGTGCATGTAATTAGACTTGAAAGGATAGATGAGAGTAGCTGTAATAGTGGTAGCCTGCATATCCCGATGAGGGAGAGGTCAGGGTAGCTGATCCAATCAATCAATCAATCAATCAATCAATCAATCGATGAGCACAGCGGGCCACTCACTCATGGCTGAATGAATTCCGAAACCGAATAAAATACGCTGACGACAACAAATGTGAATGTGGAGCAAAAGAATCAGTCCATCACGTCCTAGTAGACTGCCCGAGACTGCAGCAGCAACGTCGGGTTCTGCGACAAAAGATTGGGGACAGGTTCAACAATATCTCCCTGATGCTAGGGGGTAAACCACCAAACTGGACAGTAAATGGGTCGGAATGGAAAATCAGTAGGGGAGACCTCGATGCGATCCTAGACTTCGCTGAGAGCTCGGAAAGATTCCAAGGCAGAGACAGCTAGAGTAGACCAACCACAGGCCCTGATGAGGCATTAAGATCGTGCATGTAATTAGACTAGAAAGGATAGATGAGAGTAGCTGTAATAGTGGTAGCCTGCATATCCCGATGAGGGAGAGGTCAGGGTAGCTGATTCAATCAATCAATCAATCAATCAATCAATCAATCAATCAATCAACGATGAGCACAGCTTTTGGTGGGATCGACTTTGCGTGCTCCTAGCAACACAAGAAGAGGGAAAACATATACTGGACCAGTTGACAAGGCCATCGTTTCGTCAGAACAGGCAATGACATTCTAAATAAAGGAGAATATTTCCTCTAGGAATGGCACTGAGCATGATCAGGCCATGCTGATCTAGAGAATAGAAAATACTTCCTCTAAAAACGGCATCTGGTATTTCCCTGAAAATGGCCTCAGATTGGGTAGGTCTATGCTTAACCTCAACTCATGTTGCTAGGGCAGAAGGTTGACGCTGGAAGGTACTCCATCTATGACATCATTTATGGCCCACCTTTTGGCAGTTAAAGCTTAATAATGCCCAGCGCTAACTGGCAAGGCTGGACTTGCATATCTGCACTCGTGTGAAAAGGCAATTTTCGCAGTTTTGTAATTTTGCATTTTCACCTTTTGGCGTTTTGTGCGATTTGGTTAGCATACATGATTTGACAGTCATCGCGTGTGGTGTTTATAGCTTCCATCGATCGAGGCGGGAAGAGGACAGTGAGAGACATACCACGCCAAGCGGTGATCCCGCCAAAAGCTGTGCCCATCATTGATTGATTGATTGATTGATTGGATCAGCTACCCTGACCTCTCCCTCATCGGGATATGCAGGCTACCACTATTACATACTCTCATCTATCCTTTCTAGTCTAATTACATGCACGACCTTAATGCCTCGTCAGGGCCTGTGGCTGATCTATTCTAGTTGTCTCTGCCTCGGTCCGGTCCAGAAGGACGCCAAGGCGTGATTTGGTTGGTGTACGTGGTTTGATTGACCCATTTTTAAGGGCAGGAGCGTGCCGAGGCGATTCTCTTACTAAAGCCATGTCTTGGCGTCCTTAAGGACGCCAAGACGTGGCGTTTCCAACAATGTTGTGGTGATGAAAGGAGAAGGGACATGGAAAGAAATTCAATTGTTAATCTCTCACTTTTAGACTCGAGCAATTTAAAGGCAACCAATAATTCAAACATTTATGGGCGATTTATAACAGGTTAAGGAAGGCAAATTTCTTCTGAGAGGCGCGGCAGATGAACTCAAACACTGAAGAAGCCATCTTGTAACAGGCTAAGTGATAGCAAATACATCAAACAGACAAGCACATTACAGATGAGTATAAAGAAGAGAAAAAAGAAAGAAGGGTAATGAAGAGAGAGGTTTGCGGCGAATTAAAAGAAACATGAATTCAAGGCGGAAGGGAGCCCATATATATACCTAGGAGCAGTCCCAGAACAGGAGCAGTCCCAGAACAGGAGCAGTCCCAGAACAGGAGCAGTCCCAGAACAGAAGTTCCCAGGCTGTACCTTTGTCCTGAGAGCATTTCTAAGTTTACAGACCCAGAACGATATCTTTGTGTGTGACCTGCTCGTTGATGTGAACCCGGCCGCGTCCCCTTGGGGCTCTAATACATACATACTAGCGCACAAGTTGACAATGTCGTTCAATGTGACGTGTTCTTGAAGGTATGTTCGAAGCTGTTGGTGGTTTTGTTATTGACCGTATCCGTCCCTTCTATTCTGCTTTCTATCGCGTGATTGTCAATCTCCATTGCTGTAAACTAAATATTGAAGCTCAAAATACAGAGACGTTTCGAGAAATAAGAGCTAGAGTATGTTGTAGGCCTTTCCTTGGATGGTTCGTATATGCTTTAAGTTTTGTGAGAATAAACAGAATCGCGCTGGCATTATTCTCAGCAGGTCTCTTAGCGGCTTAAAGCTTAGCGGCTTGCCGTTTGGGCTCTCGATTCCTATTACAGACTAGCGCTATGTATCTCATCATACCTCGACACTCGTCCAACAGGCTGTAAGGCTTAGCCGGTTCTTGGCGCAGGGAAGTGCATCTTTCAATTTATGCATTTCTGCAATTCGATTTTCTAGTGTGCTTCTATCCTTTCATTCAGATTAACGAATTCCATATTCCGCACGGTGTGATTTCAAGTAAGGACACTTCCAGCTTTTTTGACCTATTTCTTCACCTTCTGGCTTTTCTGTTGCAACAGATCTCAGCGTACTCGGCTTCAACCCGGGGCTACCAATCCCAATCAATCCAGTCATTAATTTATGTTTATTTGTTTATTTTATCCTTTTCTCTCTTCTTTGTCGGTGTCTGTTTTTGGTTTTTTTCCTTCTTAACTTTCATGCTCTCTTTTAGCATAAATGATCGCATCGCGTGGCCGAGTTCAATTGCGAATGAAAATGGGGTGGGCCACGGTTTCGGATCGCAGATCGCGGCCCAAGCATGCAAGCGCCGCAGCAACCCGACTAGTCAGATCCGACAGAAGTACACTTTGAAAAAGCGACTTTTGGCTTAATGAAGCACAACACTCGCTCGTAGCTATAAATTGAGACCTCTCCCCATAATATCAAGTGATAATAATCAAGTCCCAGATCCTTCACCTTCACTGGAATTAAATGCTACACCATGCAAACATCAGACTCAAAGCGTGTCAAGAAGCCATGTACTGAGCACAGTAGCCTCGTGCAGATGCGTTACCGACGGAAAGGCACACTCCAGCGTATGCTGCGTAGCTACTTTGATGACTGTCACTGCAAGGGCGTCTATCTCCTCATCCATGAAGACAACCGGTACTTTACGATTAACTTTAACAAGTCTGATGCTTCGAACAGCCACTTTCCACCACCAGACAAGGATATAGTGAGTGCCATGCATACAGCCCTGGAAAGGCGTGGCTCTTACAGAAACAGGAGAAGCATTATCCACCTCCATCTCGAACAACGTGCGAGAACTACATGCAATATCAGAAGTCTAGGAGCAGGGAAGAAGGGAAAGCAAGAGAAACTTGAGAAGAAGCAAGAATAGAAGAAAGATTCTGTTGTAAATTAGGGTTAATTTGAAATCATCACTAAGCTCTTTTTGGAAAGTATATCTCGTCTGGCATGGGGGGTGGTGGCCAGGAGCATCTGCGTTGGTCCACCCCATCAATGCAACATTTCCCGGTTCAGCGGCTTCTTCGGGGTGGATGATTGGCGATCCACGCAACATGCATCTCAGCTACTAGTTTTCCCACCCTCCTTGATTAGACTTGACCTATATTTGTTCGCCGGCTGGGGTTGAACGTGGAACATATAAAGACGTCAAATGCCTCCTGGAACGAGATTGAGGGGAGAAGAGCATCCCATCATCTCATCTCGCAACATGGCTACCTTCACGTACGATATCACCTCCCCTGGACCTGCCGACGGTTCTCCCTCGCCTCGGCTAAACACAGTGCACCTCCTGGAAGCGTACACTCCTGATCCTCGGTCAGACGAAGAGCCCCAGCACCTCCTTCCAATGCCCATACCCATGCCCGTGCCCCTCTTCTCTGCGTCCGGCGACCTCTCTAAGGATGCAGCAAGTGAGGTATTTGCTGATTTTTCTGCCCTGCCATCCACCGTCTCTGGTCTCGATGAGATTAACTGGAACGAATGGATCCTGGCCCCCCCCCCCCAGTCGATGTTCCCCCACCGTCACTCCAACTGTCGGATTTCTCTGACGACCCCATCGAGGACCCAAGCCCGAAAGACGTTGCTGATGACCCACCCAATCAACGAGAGCCAACCCCTTCCCTGGCCCCAGAAGATCGTGAAGGCAACACATCGAAGGAGCAGTTGAATTACTCCGATGGTTCCATCGAGGCTGACCCACGCCTGGGCGAGAAACTCCACGTCCAAGCCGACCGATCAGAGCAAGTTATGCCCCTGGTGTCCGACCGTTGGGAAGGCGATGCGTTGGGGGAGACGCTGCATAATCAGGAATACATTATCTTGCCCCTTTCTCAGGTGAAGATTCTGAAGCTGGTGTATAAGCGAGATGGGGATGAGATGTACCAGATAGTAGGACAGATAGATTTACAAGAAACACGCGGATATGGCACACAAGGAAAGCCGTGGAAGTGCTTGGGTTCTGCTGGTAAGGCTCAGTACCTGCTGTGTAAACATTTCTCACGCCTCACTCACTCTCGCAGAAGACCCAGATGAGCCAATGAGTCCCACCCTGGCCTTGTGATTATGATTCCTTCAACGAAATATAGAGCGGGTTCCGGGGGGTTACGAGGCGTATGCCAAGATGACGGCAGGAGATGGAGTGATGGAACTGCTGGCAGCCATATAATCCCTCTGACGCTCTCGCTGAATTCGGCACAACCTTTAGTTTTTCCTCCTCCCTTGAGAGAAGCCCTCAAAGGATTTCTACACCCCCCGGCGCTCTGAGGATTTTCTTCCACCCTTCCGGCAGATTTTCTGATAATTCGAGGAGAGAATCGGCAAACTGTTCTGTTAGCGTTGGCTACTACTTTCACTCAAAAACCGGACGTTTTACCTTTCCATCATCTAAAAGTTTCTCAATAGGACGATCTCCATGTATAGTGACAAAAATATCAATCTCATCTGCAACTAGTCTAAGCCTCTGGCTAATTTGGTGGGCCATCTTTCACGGGTCGTGGATGGTGAAGGAGAGGAAGGTGGGAAGCAGAAACAATGGATCGGGTTAGCGTGCCTCTGGCATGGTCCATCAATAGGAGTCAGATGGCCTAATCTCACGAAACCTTTCTATTTCTAGTTAGTTAACTGCTTGGATTTGATTGAAGTCTTCATTTCTCTCCATTTTCTTCAATTCTCCTCTTTCATTTTCTATGTTTGGTTTCGTTTCACTTTACTATTTCTTCTTCATTATATCTATCCTGGCCAGCACACACATTTCCAGAGTTGGAAATTCCATATAAACACTTCAGATACTATTGCCTCGGGAGAGAACGCCCAGACCTCTCTGCCTCCTGATGCTCACGAACCCGCTTGAAGAACATACTTTGACCTCAGCGATGTCGGACGCGAATCATGACATGCAAAAGCATTCTGCCTTTCTACTGCTGAGACGGCCACCAGCCGGAGCGATCAATGAGACTTGGATTGGATGCAGATTAACAAGAGAAGAGCTGTGAAATTAATTTTTAATTACTAGCTTTCATTTCCCCCGTCAAGAAGTCATACAGGCCACCACCTTCCACTTGTCAACTGCAGAAGGAACCAAGGAAAGAAAAAGTGACAAAATGTTCAATTTATCTGACTCATCTCATATTTATCACCACCACTAATATTGTAGCTTCGCTCCCATGATCCATACTCTCTTTTTCCAACATTCTTCTTTCGGAACCATTGGCCTTTCCAGTGAGCAAAGTAAACGCTCATACCTCCTCTTGTTCCCCTCGTCGTCACACAGGAAATATGGTCCAGCAGTTCAGGAACATCGCACCCAACTCTCGAGGACCATGGTTCCTGCGGATTCCGCCGATTGATGCTGTACAGCTCCTCCAGTTTTGATCTCGCCACTTCTGGATCATCGAAGTTCCACGGCGATACCCAAGTAGGGTCGAAGCAACATAGATACTCATTTTCATCATGGATATCGCAGTATCGACGGTCAATGGGGCCGTGGTAGTTCCATTTGTCGTCGTATGTGTTTTCCATCGCCAAAGCTACACTGTCGGCAAGAGTAACTTCCGCATTGCCATCAGAGCAGGGAGCCACATCGTGGTTGCTCAAACTTTGTCCCTGGGCTAAACTGCACACTGGATCTGCCTCATTTGTTCACCTATTAGATATGTTTGCGAGAGAAGCTGCAAGTGCTTACCCTTATCATTAACACGTTGGTGCATGTCTGATTCCATCATGTCATTAAGAGAAGGTTGATCCCGATCCTCCCCCAGATTGGGTGAGCTACGGCTGTCACCCTCCCCATGAGTTTGTGGCCTTGTGGGCGTAAGATGGCGGCGAGAACGAGCTATAGGGGAACGATGGGATGCGTGTGCGCGGTTGACTCTTCTGGAACACAGGTTAAGAGCATTGGCCTTTTCAGCGGCCATGGCTTGTCTGCGGGTTCGAATCATCCTGCCAGGACGAGAGAGAGTAGGCAAGGAGCAAGTGCGAGCGAGATAATAAGAAAGAAGGGGAATGGAGAGAGTTGAGGGGGGAAACCACGCATATTTATACCCGTAGTGAAAGCACAGCCGCCTCTCAATCACTAGCATGCATTCTGTGGCAGCAGCAGGGGGTTGGCTGTAGGCCAGAATACTGATCATCTGATTCACCTTTCTGTCCATGGAAGAATAGCGCCGGGGAAGGAGACCAAAGACTCCATCGGCGCTCCCCCCCCCTTCCCCCCCTTCCCCGGCAAGCACCCGCGACACTGACCACGGGAACAATAATCTCGATGAGGCTAAGGGGTGGGACGATGTCCTCCGTGCCGCCGCACATCCGCCACGCGGAGAAGCCTCGGGGTTGTTTTGAGTGATGGCATCCCGGGTCGACCTGGGCAGGTGCATAACTGGAACACACGATGCACATGCGGAGCCACCCACTCATTCCCTTCTGTAGAGATGCCTGCGATGGTTTTGCATGGCCCAACCCGCCTGCCCCTATATGGAGAACCGAACACAAGCGGCGCATGGTCAATGATATGAGGCGCGTTTTATTTTTCAAGGAATTTTGGCTTTTGAATGGGATTGGGCTGGGAACTCTCGGTGAAGGGGGCCACCGCTCTCCCTGGGGACACCGCTCTCCCTGGGGACATGATTTCCCTAAGACAGGCGATATACGGCGTCGGCTCAGCTTTCCTGGTCGAGCGCAACTTGCCGTGTGGTTCAATTATAATCGGTATAGCACGGCCAGCCCCCTGCAGCTGCCACCAGCCCTGGATGGTCTTGTGAGGCGGCTGTGCCTACCGGGTATAAATATGCGTGGTTTCCCCCTCAAGTCCTTCCGTTCTCCCTCCTCCTTATTATCTCGACTCATCCTGAGAATGTGGATCCGTCTCTCTTCCAATTCCTTCTCCACTTCCCACCCTACACCGCCGCGAGACACCAACCACCGAGAGGCCCTTGCGTACTCGAGGACGACCGAGCGAACATAAAAAGACCGACAGCGGTGCTCTTCATCCCTCCTCTTTGTTTTTCCAGGGCACCACCATCATGGCGTCAGCTGATATTCCCCACGACGGGCTTCATCACACTTTCATCATCAGTTCAGATTCTGAGATGGATGAACGCCAGCCCCCAGCACGAAAGCTGCGAAGAAAGAGACCCCGCACAGACTACAGCTATCCAATGTATGAGGCTCAATCTGACGACCCGGCACCCTCCGAAATGTGGCAGCCACCGAAAAGACGTAACCTGGGCATGGTATTGGTAAGACTCCTCCCTGTAGGGTCCATGGCGGGGCTCCTTCTTGGCTGATCATGAGATAGGAAACCGCGAACCAGGAAATCCATAACATTTTCAAGGCGGAGCATGTGCAGAGAGAGGTACTGGAGAAAGAAGTGCAGCGCCTGCGTGCGGAAATGACTAGGAAGAATGAGCTCATTGACAAGCTTGAGACCGAAGTCCGTGAGCTGAAGTATCAATGTCGATGCCAGATCTGTTATGCCATCCCGTCAGGATGGCGAACCCTTCTGTGTGGGCATCGGTATTGCCCGGAATGCGCTCCCCCCATTAATGAAACCTGCGGAACGTGTCGCCAGGTTGTCGTTGGTGTTATCAAGAGCTACTAGGTAGAACAAAGACGGTTGAGTTTTGCCATATGGGATGTACAGTTAAACGAGTGTAATTAAGAAACTGAATCTATCTATCTAAAAGGGAGGTAACTCCACCTGCATTAACTCTTAGTTTTGTGCAATGGAGGACGAGCTGTGGGACGGAAGGATTTTGACCCAGAATGAATTAGGGCCAGTCGTGATACACAAGAACCGAACCAGTACCAAGCGGAGGTTACTTCGAGGGAAAGACATGTACGCAAGTTGGCCTAGTGGCTTTGACTCAGTTTCCTGAATAGTGGTGGATTACGAGACCGTGCTTTTCAACTCTGAGGATATAGCCTACAGTAAGGGGAGGGGAGAATCATCTCAAGCAATCAGTCACTAGTCATACCACGTCTATGTATCGTACTCTAGATGCTATGTTCAGCAGACATCTCATGGGCGCAGACGGGGACCATGTACGCTCAGAGTATGACTCTTGAATTCCATGATGGATGGTGGAGTGAAGGTGACACCCTGTACTTTGCAGATCCCGCAGTGCTTTTGTCCGGTGGAGTACGCTTTCAGCTCCTCGCGGTGGACGCTCTCGATATGGTTCCAGAACTTGTTCGTGCGCTCCCGGACCTTCAGCCGCTCCCCCCAAGGCAACGAGATATCAGCAACGCAGAATGGGCACTGCTTTTCGCCCAGCTTCGCCGGAATGGATTTCGCCCCCACGGTGTCTAGGGGCGGGTCGGGTTGGAAATCTCGCTGGGACGGCTGCTGTTTCTTGTGACGGCCCCGACGCTGAACCTCCTTCCGACGCTGCAGCTTGAACCAGACGATGATGCACGCACACCGGCGCGCGAACTGCTCATCCTCAGTCAGTTCCTGAGTGCCAGCGCACGTCAGTTCGACGACCCGTCTCCGTTCCGAGATCTGAAGTGGTGGCGGGGCCGGACACTCATCCAAAGACTCACCGCCGGCGCCGTTGCGGAGTCGCTGATTGAATCGCTCCGTATCAGCATGCCGGAAGTGCCACCGCCTCTGCCGTTCGATAAGCTTGGAGTGAAGGTAAACTTTGCTGCGGTTCAGCCGGGAAACCACCTTCATCTTCTCTTCGTACAGTGGAGTTTTGCCCCGCGCTGCCGGCACGGAACGGAATCCCATCGCCCTCAGCTTCCGGGTCAACTCTTTACTACGCTCGGTAAGCTCTATGATCTTTGGATTCTCGGTGATCTTTCTTTTCAGCTCGTCGGTAAGTTCCGTCGGGGCAGTGGCGTCGGCGTTCAAGAACAGCCCATGGGCTGCTTTCTGGACCACATCGTTGGACGGAAGCTCCATGGCCGCGGCTTCCAGATCGAAGCGGATGACCGTGTCCAGATAGTACCGTACCGCATTGGATTCGTGATCGGCTACTTGATCCCGAACAGAGGACGGAGCTTTGTCTGCGGATCCGGTAGGTCAGCGGTTAGTCTAGCCAGGGGAAATGGGAAGAAAGAGAGGATAGACGAAGGGACGAAGGAGAGTAGTGGGGCAGGCACATACTGTTGATGGCGTTGATGAGAGAGCGTCGCCAGACATACTGGGTCAGACTATATTTGAGCCCAGCCACCAGGCGAAGGTGTCTGAGGTAGCCGCTCCATGTAGATCCTTTGAGCGGCGTCTTCTCTGATGTTCGATACCCATCGCCCGTGCGTTCGGGCTGGCGGAACACCGGCACGTCCAGCATCTCTGCCTTGATCTTTAGGCTCATACCGTCTAGGTAGGACGGGATGGGATACCAGTAGATGTCTTCGAGCTTCTCGAATTTGGGCGCGAAGATCTCGTCATCTATTGCCATGGAGAGAAGGTGCCCCAGAAGATCCAGGAGCGGCTCCGGATTGTGGCTGATGACGAATGTTTTCCTGCATTGTCAGTCAGTCGATGAAGCGCAATGCAGTACGGGGGTTGAGAAGAGGGAAAGTTGCATAGCTACACTCGCGGCTTCTTGTCTTCACCCTTGGTGTGGAGGAGTGTGACCTTGGCCAGGAGGATGTTTGGCCGGCCAGCCACAGGGCTCCGAATGATGTGGAAGCCGATATGCCGCCAGACAATGGCCCCAGTCTCCTCAGGGCCTGCATCATACTCGTCATCCGTCACGTCCTCTATGAAGCGGCCAAGTTCACTGAGGTCATTGTCGGCGGACGTATCGCTGGTGCAGCCGCTTTCCACTGACTCTGCACTCGACTCGGTGTCGGTATCGTTTTCTCGCACGAGCTCGCCAAACAGGGGTTCCTCGGAACTGCCGCTAGTGCTGTCACTCTCTTCGTCAACATACCCTGAGTCAAAGTCCGTATCATTGCTCATATGACTATCCATGTCGCTATCCAGGGGATCGTACAGAACGTCTTCACCGCGCATCCCGTATTTGCCGCAGGACGCTTCTTCCCGGGCGGAGCGACAGCTTTTTCGAGGAGCCATGATTCGTGCCTTCTTTGTGTCGCGATATTTCTTGTCGTCGTCGGAAAGAGCCCACTTGCGTTTCTCTGGTGCTGTGGGTCTGCTACCGTGCTGGCCGATCCCGGATCCCGCCGTTGGGTAGCGGTCGGGGGTGGCACCTGTGGCTCGGGGACGGTGACGGCGACGGTTGGTCCTCTTCGTTGAGCCCTTGCTCGCTGTGTGCGACACTCCCTTTGACTGTCCGTCTCCGGCTTCCGCATCACCGGTTTTGATCCGGGTGTCGAACAGCGAGACCAGCCTGCCACCGGAGATGAAGGACAAGAGGATACCTGCAGCAACGTAGAGTCGCTGCTTCTCATCGGCATACGCCTTCGTACACCGTGTCCAATGGGCGTGGAGGATGCGGTACACATCGTCCTTGGTGCCAGACGTGCCCCTCCTCCGCCGTCGCCGGAGACCCCATCTCTTGATCACGACGTTCTTATACTGTGTAGGGCACCCATCAGCTGGAGCAACGTCAGTCACTTGGATGAGCTTACGTTCAGACAATCCTGTTCCATCCCGCTGTCCATGCCATGGCCAGTGCGCTCCACATACAGGATCTTCAGGACCCGCCAGTAAGAGTCAAAGGCCGATGCTGCCTTGATGCTGTTCCGGTGGGTGTCCTCGACCCAGTCAAAATATGTCTTGACTCGGCCCGCCGTCAGATTCTCAAGGAATTCCTCTTCCGTAGTCTTCAGTTCGGCATAGCAGAAGCTTTTCTCCGTAAAAAGGTAAATTCAATTTCCTCACAGAGATCAACACTTACCGTTGAACTTTCCGCCGGACCGTCCCCACACTTTTCTGAGAATTTGCGGCGTAGATTCTGGATGTGCGGCCAGCGGCCTCATGTTGTTCCAATATGGCTGTGTAGTTCGGCTTTCTGAGTGAATCCAGGCGACCTGCCGTGCGTGATCTACCAGCTTTCGGCACTTTGGGCCTTCCAACTGGCATAACGTTCAGTGGGCGCGTGAGGATGTCGCTGATGCGTAGGTAGACAGAAAAGAGATTCTATGGAGGAAGGCCGGAGTAGACCAGCCCTCTGCAAGGGAGTTGGGGCGGATAGGAGGGGGACTGGTAACTTTGGAATAATGAGTTGCAGAGGAACCAACGGCAACCGAAGGCAAAGGGAGGAGGGGGAGGGGTGGGAGACATGATAGTATTTATAGAATGGGGAATCCAGGACTATCCCGGCGGCCATCATGGTTGAAGGGTTGAACGCCAGAAACGGAGCGCTCCAGCTGGGCGAATGGGCGAGTGAGTGGGTGGGCGATTCGCGAGCAGTCGCGCGAGCAGAAGGTGAGGCCGTGGACCCGGCCGCGGGCGTTAAATGGGGCATCCCAAAAAGCGGCGAGAGGTGGATTCCAGATTGGGTCTAGTGGCGACTAGTGTGGGTGCGAATCCGGGGTGCATGGACGGCCGGAAGCAGCCCAACCGCCTGCCACTTTCGGCCGCCGTGGCCCTCAAAGTTGGATTCTAAGTGTTATAATCTTAGACTGCATATAACCTTAGAAAAAATAAGAAGAACAACAACAATAACAATTATATATTGAAACAACATCATACAAATTCAGAGATTGCATCTCTCACAGTAAGTAAAATATGAGTATATCAATTTATCAAACATCTGTTAGATTATAAACAGATCAAGCAACAGCTCATAAATTCAAAACAGATATTTTATGAAAATATAAACTTCATTATCAACTGATTTGATTGATATGAAATTATCTTCAATCAATATCACTTTTTCCCCTGCAATATCTACAACTTTGATGAGATTGAATTTCAAAAAGGAGAAGGATGTGAACAGTGAGTTATAACTGTCTTTAAAGACATGAATTTCATCATACAATCATCATACTTCCATGGGTAATAACAATGGTGGAGTGTGTCAGTGCAAATGGCACAGTATTGAATTCTTTGATTATAATGAAATTAAAAATTCATTTAAAAAATTGATATATATATTTCAATTTATCTGACAATTACATCATCACCGCATTCACGTCTGACTTTACAAATGATGAGATTGAATTTGAATGGATCAAGTAATTCAATAAAATGATAAAAAAGCATTAAATGAGCAGTCATCAATTGCTATTAATGAATAATCATGATTCTCATCTCACAGAAGAATTCATTCAATACTGTAATTTTTATAAAATTATTTTATTGAGATTTTCATCTTATACAAATCATATTCTACAACCTCTTGATGATGTATCTTTTCAGCAGTATAAGCATTATCATACAAAGACAATTAATGAGATTGTCTGTTATGAATATGAGCAGTATGATGATAAACAATTTCTTATTAACCTGAAGAGTATTCAATTGCAAGCATTCAAATCTGGCACTGTAAAAGCTGACTTTGCTGACCACAGAATGTATTTAGTTAATTATGATATAATTTTCAATTGATTGAAACCTCTTACCATTGATGATGCCCCGGATCTCAACATATACAATGGCAATGATAATGTGTAACGGGCGTATATCGATTAACGATCTAGCACTATTTTAAATACAGATTATGAATTGATTAAGAAAAGAAAGAGAAAAGAGATCAGAAGGAAAGATTGTATGAAAGAGAAGATCAGAGTGAAAGAATATCAGAAACTGCTCTGCAGTGAAGCACAGAGCAGAAGAATATTGAGGGTTATATGAAAAAATTGTTAAAACTATACAAATGCAGAGTGTGAGGAATTATATAAATACAGAATATGAGGAATTATATGAATGTGAAGTGTGAGGAACTACACAGATGCAGAGTATGAGGTAGAAGAGGTTGATTATATAAGTTAATCATTAATAAATGTTAACTCATCATATTATCCCCTTTTACTGAGGTGAGTGATAACTCATAGGCGTCGAAGGCAGCGGTGTCCTTCATGGCAGATGTGAGTTTCCAGGTCAGGCGATCATATCCTACTTATTTGACAAGGTATTCACAGTGATGGTGGTTGATTCTATCATCAAGAATCACTTCAATCTCTCATTCAAGTTTGTTATTTTTTTCTATGATGATAAATGGCTGTCAGTCAGAGATTCTTTGTGAGGGGAATGAATTCTCAGCCATGGGTTGGAGCAGGTTTGTATGAAAGACATTATGAATGTCAGACAGAGTGTTGAATTGATAATTGTATGTGCTCAGCATCTTCATCACAGTACATTTGATGTAGTGGTAATTTAGCATACATAAGAAATGATATGTTCTTATGTTCTTGAGATCTAGTCAGATCTTGTCTTTTACATAATATCAGATTGCAGAACTTATTCTGATATTCATTTAATTTTCATAATTTTACTGAATACTGATCATGAAAGCTTCTGCTCATTCACAAACTTTCTTAAATTTGCTCATGATGTTCTCTGCTGTTTGTATGGAATTGTGAGTGTATGTGATTTTTCAAAAATTCTCAGAGAAGTTCAAAACTTCTAAATTATATTTATATAGAAAAAAAAATGAGCTTATATCTATCATAACAAAATCTCAGCTGTTAATTGCAATCTCAACATGTGATAGCAGATAGCTTCAATTGTTTTATATATAATTGTAAAATTTATAAAGAATGTTCAATGTTCTTCATTATTTGTATCATTCTCTCTGTGGCTTCATCAATCTCTAAGTGATACATTGTTGACAATTTTCATTCAATTCTTAGCAGCTGACATATATGAGTTTAGAGTGCATTGATGAATTGACTGCTTTTATCTGATACAATGAATGAAAGCAGATTGTGTATATAATAAAATAGACTCTGAACAAAAACATCTGCAACTATTTCAGCATTCATCTTGTCACAAAGCTGCAGTATTACACCCTTGCTGAATTAGTTGACAATGACTAGAATGTTTATAAAACCTTCATTTTTGAGTAAAGAAACTGCAAAGTTGATTGCTATATCACATTAAATTTATTCAAAAATAGGCAAAGATTTCAACATTCTTTTTTATCATTTATACCATGCTGTTACTGAGTCACAGTGATTGCAAATGTGTACAAACTGATGTATATTCTTTGATATATCTGATCAGTAGAAGTTTTAAACTACAATGTTGTATATAATTTCACAGTTTGAATATTTAATCATTGATGAGTTATGAATCTTCTACATGATTCATATTTGTAAAGATTTTGAATCAGGGACTCATTGTTTATTTCAGAAGTGTAGACATTTATCATCATCAATTAAATATGCTGAAATGTTCATTCTTGAACATACATCTGTGAGGAATCAGAGTGTTTTGCTTTGTATAATTTCAGCAATCCGTTGTCAAAATTCATCAACTTCTGCTGCTTATCTTCATTGCTCTTTAAGTGAGGGGTCTTGTGCTTGAAACTGATTAATGTGTACATAAGATTTATCTGATTATGTGGGATTTTTTATGATTGTGGGGTTGATTAACCAATGCTCTCAGTGCTCTCAGTGTTTCCATTTATCATTCAGATTATTAGATGGTATACCTTATTCTTGATAAGACAGAGCATTTATAAAAATGTTTTTTACTTTTGATTGATAATAGATTGTGAATGAAAAACAGATAAGGAATAATGATCAATGCATATATCTTTCAGTGAGCTTACAAATGATTGTGAAGTATTCTAGATTTTTATGATCAGTGATGATTTCGAACTTCTCAATATTCATGAGTTTGAACTCTCATTCTTTGAAGCATGGTATGATTGCTAAAAGCTCCTTATCGTAAATTTTGTAGTTGCATTCAGTGAGTGATATTTTTTTCAAAATGAAGATACAGAGTTGCAGAACACTTTCATTATCATATTGCATTAATGATCTGCCTACTATATAATCTGAAACATCTGTTTCGAGAATCATATGCTTGTCTGAGTTGAATGATTACAGCATTGAAATGCTTGTGAACATGTGCTTCAGCTTCTTGAACACTGCATCCACTTCATTAATCCATTGAAATACAATATTCTTTTAAATCAAATCTGTTAATGATTGTATAATATTGGAGAAGTTCTTGATGAACCTTCAATAAAAGTTGGCAAATTCTAAAAAGCTTCTAGTCCCTTTTACTGAGACTGATATCTTTCAGTTGAGGATTGCTTTTATCTTCTTAGAATCCATGTATATACCTCTTTCAGCTTTGATGATAAATTCTAGATAGATTGTAGATTTGATTTTGAAATTGCATTTGTCAATGTCCACTTACAATTCTGCTTCTCATAGATGGTCACGCATCTGTTGTATGTGTTTACAATGCTCAGCAAGTGATTCATCAGTAAAAATCAGAATATCATTCATATATGTTGAAATAATCTCATCAAACAAGTCTTATAAAGCTCAGTTGATATATTTTTGAAATGTATTCAGAGCATTTGCTAATTCAAAGAGAGTCACTGCCTATTCATATAACTCATAATGCATATAAAAGGCAGTTAGTCATTCATCACCCTCATTGATTCTTATCTTGTTGAAGGCCGTGGAGATGTTAAGTTTCATGAATCATTTTACTTTTTCTATTTATTTGAGTGTTTCATTAATGAGCAGAAGAGGATATCAATTCTTTTATGTAATTTTGTTAAGTTCTCAATAGTCAACACAAAATCATAAGCCTTCTTCTGAATTTTTTATGAATAATACAGATGCTGCAGCGGGTGAATTGCTAACACAAATGAAGTCTTTATTTAATAGTTCATTGAATGTTTTTCATAAAATGAGAAGCTCATTGTGTGATATGCTGTAAAGAGAATTTCAGAGTGATTGTGAGTTTTTATCATTCTTCTTGATGAATTCAATTGTATAATTTATACCACATTCTCAGTGAGGGGGAGCTTTTCAGCTGCTTTCTCATTAAACACATCTATAAAGTTCTTATATGATTCAGAGAGTTCCTTGCAGAATTTTTTGAGATTTTTGAGTTTTAACTTTTCTAATATTTTCTTGATATCTGTCATGTTAGCAGCAAACACTTGGATGTTCTTCTTCTTGCACACTTGATGGGTTAGTAACTTGAATGTCTTTGTCAATACTTGAATGAAATTAGCAGTTCTATTGATATTCTTTTCATAGACACAGTCGCTTTCTGAGAAAACAAAGCAGTGATTGCATGTGTTCAATAAGGTTTCAAATTCTGTAAACCATAACAAACTGAGCATTAAATTGTACTTGAGGTTCTGTACTTCATATATGTAAACATTCTTTTTCTTATGCCCCTCTACATTGACATTAAATCTTATCATGTTGTAGGAGGTGGATTCTCTGAAGCTATTGAATTCACTGAGCTTATGCAGTTTAAAAAAGAGGATATGCTGAAGTTTATGCTTTTCAATCAATTGAATATTTATAAGAATGTAATGAAGGAAACCACTGTCTATCATTGCTCATATATTGATTGAGCTATTTACAATGACAGAGATCATAATTGTGTTCATTTGCATTTTCTGTTCAAACCTTCAGCTAGCTTCTTGTTTTTGAACTTTCATTTGTGTTTTAAAGTGAGAGCTCTTCTTTTCTCTGTTTCTGTTTATCTGTAGATATAATTGCATTCACATATGATGTAGGAGCTGAGACCATTGCATTGATGAACTGACTTGCAAAATGCCCCAGTTTGTTGCAACAGATGCAAACTCCTCAGATGATTCAGTCAATAACTTTTCATTTAAAGAGGTCAGATATTTTTGATCATTCTGTGCTTATATGAGAGGTTCAATTCATGACATCTATGGGGGCCGTTGATGCGGTTGTAGACATGAAGTTCTGCTTATAATTGTTATGTCTTCCTTGAACAGCATTGAAGCATGCGAGGTTGTTGTTGAGTTGGCATAAGTGGATGCAGTAGTTGTGGTAATGTGTGAGCATGAGATGCAAGATGCAGAGCTTGAGCAGTTCAAAGTTAATATACTGACTTAGAAGATTGATCTTGACAACATCATCTGTGGCGTACTTACGCCCCTACCCACCCCTCGCTGATTCCCAGAGCTTCCGCTCCACCCCTTCCTTCTTCCGCCCCTACTCAAGGCTTCTATCCTTCCTTTTATAACCCTGCGATCGCTCCTTCCGCAGGAATCAATCACTGTAAATAAACAAGCATGTATATATAGGGGCGTCCGCCCATCTTCATCTTTTAGAGAATCAGACGTGTATTATCCTACTGAGCTGCGTACGCTACATATTGGTAGCATGTCTACTTAAGAATCAAGTCCTCCTAGTCCTTTTAGCTTCCGCTCCGCCTTCGAGACGACGCAACACTGGTGATTGGTCCGGGTTGCGGACGACGAGGTTCAGTCAACTGGTGATCGGTCTGGTTGGCTTCCCTACTTTCTTTCGACGCTGCAGCTGGTGATTGGTCTGGCCTGTGGTCGTTCGACTATCCTACATTCTTTCGACGCCACAGCTGGTGATTGGTCTGGCTTGTAGTCTTTTATCTTCCGCTGCAGGACGCCATAGCACTGGTAATCGGTCTGGGTTGTGGCCACCGTTGCGGTAGACCCACCTTCTTTGCACCTTTCGTCACGCACTGTTACGACAATGGAACAGGACGGGCGAATCACTAGGGGCGGCTCCCGCCAGCCGCTCCATTCCACTGGGCCGGAGGAGTCCGCCGGTGGACCTGAACGAGCTACTCGCGAGTCCGCCCTTGGATCTGACGCTGGGCGTGCCTACTCGCAGGCGGCAGCGGAAAAACACGCTGTCATGATTGCGGAAGTCTGGCAGAACGCGGACGGACGGTACAATAGTGTCAAGAATCAAGTCACGCTGTACGATCGCGTCAAGGCAGAGGGCATTCTTATGTGCGTGTCCGCCAGGCGTTACAACGATGTTAAGGCGACCCTTAACTCGGCTCCCGTCGCGGAATGGAAGGATGCCATCGGTCATTGGCTACAGACCTTCCGCACGGAGGCCACAAAGCATACCAAAGAGAGGGGGTCCATAGCTCCAAGCTTCGACGATTCAACCGCCAGAGCCATGCCTCTCCTGACGAAGCGGCCGTATTAGACACGATCGAAGAACTCGAGCAGCTGGACTCCCAGCTGGCCCAGCGAGAGAGCGAGCTAGACGAACGCGAGCGCCACCTCAACCAACGACAAGAGCAGCTGGACGAGCGTGCCACCCTCGTCGATGAACGCGTCAGCAAGCTCCAGGACAATCTCCAACGTCTGGCAGACGGAAGGAACCGACTGACAGAAGCATGGGGCAACTTTCGCACCGAGGAAGCCGCGCTCGCCGCTCAGAGGCAAGAGCTACAGCGTGAGCGTCAACGAACGGAGCGTCCAACCCAAGTCGACAGAACGGACGCCGATTATGACGATCCTCTCGCCGAATCCGCACGACGGCTCGACGCCTTATTCGAGGAGGGTTTTGAGCCGCCTCCTAGGACCTTGCGGACATCAGCAATGCCACGAGGACCACGTGGTGCAGGGTTGGGTGCGCTCGGGGGCAGGATCCGCCGCTCAAATTTGACGAGAGATAGGTTCAATTTCGTCCGCGAGGCAGACACCCCACGCTTCACCTATGACGCGGACGGAAATCGAGTGCGCAGAGAGCAACCGCCCGCAGCACACTTGGGGGAGGAAACCCGCTCCGCCCGTGATACTGGCGATCTTCCATGGGACGGCAGACCCCGTTCGTCCTCATGGCAAAACGGTAGCGCAGGTCGCTACACTGAGGGTGACGACCGCCCAGCGCGACTAAGAGCTGGCGACGTTATGTTGTTTGACCCGGCAGAGACGGACGTAATGGCGTTCATCAGTCGCCTAGAGTTCATCGCCACTCAAGAGGGGGAAGATGCGGTGCTCCGCGTGTTTCCGCTGTGTTTGAAAGGTCAGGCGTTAGAGTGGCACAACGGCCTGTCTGCCGAAATGAGGAAGGATATGAGCGCTTCCCTCCTTGCCACGATTAGCGAGCTGGGGCGCGAGTTCCAGCTATCTGAGGGAGAAGCCTGGGCGAAAGCCCAAAGCCTGCGATTCTCCTTCGACAAGTCGGACGAGCTACCGCTGGCGCTATACATCTCGCGGAAAATTAACCTGCTGCGAGCCGCCTCAATCTCTGATTCCGCGATGGTGAAGAGACTCCTATGGGAAGGTTTGGAGTCTAACCTGTCCTTGATTACGCCCCTCATTCCCACCGAGCGCTTGGATGACTTCCGAAGGAGGATTAGGGACAATGAATCAGCCGCCCGACGCGCATGGGCCGATCGAAAGGCCCAATTCGCCGAATACATACGTAACTCCAGGCGCTTCGACCAAAATAACGACCGCCGTTCTTATCGCACCCCCTTGGCCAAGCAACAGACGGAAGCCATCAAACCGTCCGTGCCTGCCGCAGATCCTGGGGCAATTCCCCCAGTGGGCGCCCCCACGACGAGCAAGCTGCCGATTAGGCGTACAGAGGGAGGAAAGCCGCCAGCGCCCGCAGCAGGGTGCTACGTGTGCGGAGGCCCTCACTACGCCAACCGCTGTCCCCGGAAGGGGGAGGCCAACGATCGCCCAGCAAATCAAGTCGAATTGGAGGGTGCCGGGGAGGAAGACGACGACCTGCTGGATCTAGACCCCAGTCTAGATTCCGACAGTGAGTCGGAAAAATAAACAGCGAGGTGGGCGCTGAGGGGCCTGCCTCGTCCACGGACGCTCCCTCAGACGGTTATCCGAGCATATTTAACGCCGTCATATATGCTATTGCGGCACGCGATATCCCTACAAGCGATCAAGAATACGTTAGCGGACTGCAATATTTGCCCTACACCTTCCTTACCATTCCTGTAGTTACGCCTCGAGGCGATCTTTCAGTTTGCATCGATACAGGCGCGGGTATATCGCTTATCGATGCAGCGATAGCGAGCTTATTCTTTCCCCATTGTCAGCCTACTCCTATGCCACATAATCGGCGCGTGGGCATTCGAGGAGTCGGTTCAGATACAAACGAATCGAACCTATTCATAGCGACGGCTCTCACCTTAAAGGCGGACGACGGTTCTCTTTTCATCGTAAAGGGCGAATTCCACCTAGTGCGATACCTCGGATGCAATATGATTATAGCGAACGATATATTGTCATCAGCGAAGGCCACCATTGACGTCCACGGCGAGCGCATCATATTACATAGCAAATATTCCATGAGTGCCAAGGCCACTAGAGGCGCCATCCGCGCGGGTAAGAGCTCACAGCCGCCCCGAAGGCAGAAAAGGATCGCCATCTGCTCCGCGGATGCCAACGTCGTCAATGATCCAACCTCAGAATCGCCCCTGTTTCCTGCCTCGCATGCGGAATTATTCAACCTACAGCCTGTTCTATTGACGGATGCAGAAGACCATGACAATCCTCTTCAGATTCCCACGGCGGACACCCTCGCCGAGCGAGTTGAAGCAGACGTATCAGATCACTGGGCGGCAGGAGACCGCGCAGCAATCCAGCAAACCATCGACCGGCATCATAGACTATTTAGTCCCAGCCTGGGCCTATTTTCGGACGGGATAAAGATGCCACTACGATTCGTCAATGAGGACGACTTTTCCGGGCTAAAGCAACGGCCTTACCCTCTTTCGCGGAGAGACCGGGAGGTGGCGGATCAAATCTTGGACCCGCTCGTACAAAATGGGAGAATCGAGAGGGTCCCCCTTGGGGACAAGAACCCTATCGCTTCCCCTGCATTTGTGGTCTGGCACAAGGGAAAGCCGCGTGTAGTTGTGGACTTGCGGAAGGTCAACTTACGATTGCTCCCGAATGCATACCCCTTGCCGACGCAACAAGATGTGCTACAGTCGTTAGGAGGTTCCACAGTGTTCTCGTCAATGGATATCCGCCAAGGCTTTTTTCAACAACCCATAGAAGATGGCGACCGCTTTAAAACCACCTTCGTCACTCCGCACCGAGGTCTCGAGCGGTTTACCGTCGCTACAATGGGGTTGGCAACCTCGCCCGGGTTCTTTCAGCAACGTATGGAAGAAATCCTAGCGAAATTCTTATGGCGATTCGCGTTGGTCTATGTCGACGACATCATTATCTACTCGCGTTCGCTAGACGACCATCTCCATCACATGCAGGAAGTATTCTCAGCTCTCGAGGCGTCCGGGGTGACGATGTCTTTAGCCAAGTGTCATTTCGCCTACCCTTCTGTGCGTTTGCTAGGCCACCATGTCGGCCGACTGGGCATATCCACTCAGGAGGAGAAGGTAGCCGCTATTGCGAACCTAGCCTTCCCTATGACTCTCGGGGAGCTAGAAGGGGTCATCGGCCTCTTCAACTACTATCGCGATTTCGTGGATTTCTATGCAGATAAGGTAGAAGCGTTAGAAGCACTCAAGACCAGGATGCTGCGCAACGGCCCCCGAACAGGTCAGAAGAGAGCTTCGTACGCCGCGAAAACCAAGTTGACAGGATTCGAAGAATCACCGCAGTTCCAGACCCTACTCAAAGAAGCCCAACGTTCTTTTGAGGCAGTCAAACGAGCCTTGATGGACGCTCCCACAAGAGCATACCCTGATTTCAAGCGACCGTTCATCGTGTATGTGGATTCCAGCAAACAGCGCGGAATAGGAATCGCCCTACATCAGGTGGGCGCCGATGGAATCGAGAGGCCCATTCTATTTCTATCGCGGCGATTAAACTCAGCGGAGAGACGGTATTGGGCGACCGAATTGGAGTGCTTGGGGTTGATGTGGGCCCTGAAGAAGCTTCCTCAATACCTCGACGGCGAATTCTTTGTTGTGACCGATCACATCGCACTTATATCCGCCCTTCAATCGCCCGCGACAGGTCATCGGAGTAATCGGTTGGCGAATTGGGCTTTAACCCTTAGCACGTATCTTCCGCGCATGCAAATCCGCTATCGCAAAGGCGCTTCCCATGACAACGTTGATGCTCTATCCCGATTACGCAGTCTCGAGGACGATTCTGAAGAGATCCCCCGAGATGATCAAGACAAGCTACGCCAGGTGCTCGCCCAGCAGGCGGAAGGAACCACAGATGAGTTCGTCGCTGCTATATCCGACGTGGGCGTAGCCCTCTCGAACGATATCAAAGACCAATTGCGTAAGGACCTACCGGCTGATCCAGCCTTGGGGAAGGTCTATCGTAAGGTAGCGCGAGAGGGAAAATATCATTCGTTTACGCTTCACGACGGTCTCTTGTTTTTCACCAACGATCGCCTCTGCATCACGCAAACCCTAGCCGAAAGCCTTATTCGCTTGTGTCATGACGCAGCCGGACATCCAGGGCTTCATCGGACGGAAGACATTGTTCGCCGATCCTTCTTCTTGCCTCACGCTCGCAGACGAATCCTCGATCGCATTTCACGATGCCCGAATTGCCAGCTGTCTAAGCCACCCAACCACGCTCAGTGGGGCAAATCACACCCCATCTCGTCCCCGAAAGAGCCGTTCGAGGTCCTCTCGATAGATTTCATTACCGGACTGCCCGTAAGCGACAGCCGTGACACTATATTGACAGTCACGGACAAATTCTCCAAAGCCGTGATTCTAGTCGCAGGGCAAGAGAAGTGGGACGCGCCGCGGTGGGCGGAAGCGTTCTATAAGGAGGTGATCTGCCGCTGGCAGCCCCCGCTGGCGATTATCTCAGACAGGGACCCCAAATTCACGTCGCAATTTTGGAAGTGCGTTCTTCGGTTGATGGGAGTCAAGAGCTGGATGACGACCGCCTACAATCCTCGCTCAAACGGCCAAAGTGAACGAACCAATCTCACTGTCGAAGTCACCTTGCGAGCGCTTCTCATAGGCAAGTATGAAGCGGGCTGGAACGCCCTGCTCAACCAGGTGGAAAGAACGTTAAATTCGGTAGCTGCCCACCCGGCAGCGATCTCTCCTTTCGAGTTACTCACGGGCGTGAAACCAAGGTGGCTACCATTAAAGAACGAGGAAGCTCCGGCGGACGTAGCTGAGTTCATCGCCGCACGGGACGCAGTGCGGCGGGACGTCCTGGATTTGTACGCTCTCGCAAAAGCCAAGATGGCCGAGTCCTTCGACCGCTCCCACTCTCAGCCAATCATTCGGGTAGGCGACTTCGCGTTCCTGAACCTGGCCCGCAAAAACGAGAAAGGGTATGTCGTTCGAGGATCCTCCAAACTTTCGCCCCTGCGAATAGGCCCATTCAAGGTCGTCGAGAAGATCTCGGATGTCGCCTTCCGCCTACAGCTTCCCCCCAAATGGCGTATGCACCCCGTTATTTCCGTCATTCATTTGGAAAAGACGCTCTTACGTCCCGCAGACCTCGAACACCCGCCACCCGAACCAGTCATGGTAGATGGTCAGCCACAATTTGAGATCGAAAAGATCATCGGAAGACGCATGGAGAGCGGCGAGACCTACCTCCAGATCAAGTGGAAAGGATACGAAGACCCAACCTGGGAATCTCTCGACGTGATCGCAGAGGATACCCCGGACCTTGTCAAAGCCTTCATGGCCAAGAAGCCGCGCGGTCGACCGCGTAAAAAGTAAGAAGAATGCGAGAGAGAAAGGAGTGAGAAGGAGAAAGAAAATTCATTACCAACCTATTTTTAGCTACCCGATCGCGCGAAAGAAAACAAAAGAAAAGAAGGAAAGGAAGAAAAAGAAAGAATAAAGGAAAACACCCCCCTCGATCATACCCCACCTTCTTCCACCCAAGCAAACGACGCAAGCAGCAAGAAATCAAAAGCCTTCCGCCCCATTCCAGAGACAACAAAGGAAATACCCCCTTCCGCTTCAACCCCTTCACCAATCATCCTCGAGCTCATGTTGCAGCTTGGCCTCCTGCCTAGCAAGGCGTGCGTCCCAGAATGCAACGTCCGCCGACAACCCACCATCCATAAGGTCGCTGAAGCGTGCCCCGCTGGGCAGCTTGAAGAAACGGTTATTGGCGATGGTATCCCCCGCAGCTGAAACCACAGCGAATTCGCCAATCCGGTCTAATTCCTTCCGAGCGGCCTGGACAACGTCTAGATTATGCTTGTCAAGGTTAGGCGGCCGCCCCAACACCTTCAGATCTTGCGCCATACAGTCGATTGTACGGCCTCCAGAAGATAAAATAGACGACCGTCGCCCACCGCTCATCTTGGCCTCCTCAACCACCTCTGCCAGCTCTGGCTCGTCCGCCTCGTCCCCCGCTGCTGCCCCCCTAGGATCCTCTTCACCCCCTGCGTCCACTTCCACATCCGTATCTTCGTCTGAAAATCGACGCGTTTTCGAAGGCCACGACTTCTTCAGGTCTGCGAACGGATAAGGCGTTAGTATCGGACACCCATCGGCCCCGGGGAAAATGTATAAACCGAGGTTGGCGGGATCAAACAGTCCTAACTCACCCGCTGTGCGAAATGCCGGCTTTTCCGCTCCGTCGTCCGTCTCCTCGTCCGCCTCCTCCAGTTCCCCCTCTTCCTCACTCACATGAAGAAGGGCGTCACGCTCCTCCTGACTCAGCGACCGGAATAACTTCTCCAAGGCCTTTTTCGTGCCGCTCTGGCCAAGTCGTTCGCCCTGGCTGCCTGCTCCTCCCACCTTTGATGATCCAGATGTCTTTTTGGGACCCATCGTGTCGAAGTAAGTCGGCTCGTAAACGCGCGGTGGACTCTTTCTCAGGTTCTGCTAGGGTTCGCCCGAAATCTTTGCCCAACGCTTCGCTCAGCAGCCCTATGGCGGATGAATAATGATGTCGCTCTATCGCGTATTGCTGCGTTGACGTCGTTCGATACTGCAAGACAGGGAGGATGTGGGAAATAAGGAGGAAGAAGAAGGGGAAACGATCGCATTATATGCCTGCGGCTCCATTCACCCACATAACCCCCAGCCTTCCGCCAGAAGGCCCCCGCCACACAAAGAATCTCCCCCCCCTTTTTTTTCTTTCACCTACAAATCTTCCGCCTTCCATTCCTTCTGCTTGCTCTACGGTCTTTTGTCTTCAATCCCCTTGTTAATCCTTTCTATTCTCTCAACCTCCTTGCTGTCTTCCGCTGGTCTCTTTATCTTACACAAGGCCTTTCTCGCCCAGGGTATTCTTTCGCTTTCGACAACGAATCCAACCGCTACCCAACCTCTTTCCTTATGGCGTACCTAACCCTAACCCTAACCCAACCTCTTTCCTTATGACGTCCGCTTGGCATCCTATCGCCTTATTGTCCCAGCCCCTTGTTTACCTGCCCTTTTTTATATAAATGATATCGACCCATATTCAAAAAGGCCTAGCGTCCGCCTCTTACGCCCCCATCTTCCTCATTAGGTTTAGCACCCGCAGCGTTTCATATTTTCTACCACCTTCTTTCGACGTCATCCTCATTCTCCGCGACCGCTCCTTTTTCCGACAGGGGGACTGTGGCGTACTTACGCCCCTACCCACCCCTCGCTGATTCCCAGAGCTTCCGCTCCACCCCTTCCTTCTTCCGCCCCTACTCAAGGCTTCTATCCTTCCTTTTATAACCCTGCGATCGCTCCTTCCGCAGGAATCAATCACTGTAAATAAACAAGCATGTATATATAGGGGCGTCCGCCCGTCTTCATTTTTTAGAGAATCAGACGTGTATTATCCTACTGAGCTGCGTACGCTACATCATCTCAGTTCTATTGTTCTGCTTCACAAATCTTGCTATTGAAATCAGGCAGATAGTTCACTAAGAGGGTATTTCTCTGACAATTTCTGTTCAACCACTGCATTGCACACACTTGCAGTGTAGAATTCAAGAATAGAACATTTAGTTGATGAAAGACTTCTTCAGAGGTACACATTTCATGTGTACATGATTCAATTCAGAGTTGAAACTTTGTTAAAGCATCTTCTTCTAGCTGACTATGAACATAGCAGACTTGTGAAAGCAGAGAGCTTATCACGAACCCATTTTCTTCAAACTCGGCTTTTACTTTTCATTTTCAGATTAAATAGATTGAGAGCTCTTCTGTGAATTTGTCAAGAAGGAGGAGATGTTCTTTCCTTTTATACACAGAGAGCATTGACGCTTGCACAGTTTCTGATGTATTTATATTCAGATGATTCAATTGTCATTGAAGTTTCACTATTTATAAAGATTGCTGTTGAAGAAAGTTATAAAGTTCAGTGTTATCTTCAGTGAGGCTTCAGTTCTCACTCATGAAGAGGTGTTTGTAGTTCATCTCATTTTTGTATAAGGTCATGATTCTTGATTCTGATAACTTGAAGATCGGGAGGTTCAGTTCTTATTCTTCAAAGGAAATACTTTATAGACACTCTGATCTCTTCACAGACACACAGTTGTGGAGTTCTTAAGCACTCAGATTTTTTCACAGCACTATCACAGTGGTGCAGCTTTGTAAAATTTGATAACTTATTTTTAACTTGAGCATCTGAGTGCAATTGTAAACATAGAGCACTCAGGCTGACACAGATGATTCAATTTGTAATGTAATGAGTGTACATCAATTAATAATCTAACACTATTTTAAATACAGATTACAAATTGATTAAGAAAAGAAAGAGAAAAGAAATCAGAAGAAAAGGTTGCATGAAGAGAGTTTTTATAAAGAGGAGATCAGAGTGGAAGAATATCAGAAGTCACTTCACAGTGGAGTATAAAGCAAAAGAACATTGAGAATTACACAGAAGAATTGTTAGAACTACAAAAATACAGAGTGTGAGGAACTACACAAGCACAGAGCATGAGAAACTACACGAGCGCGGAGTGTAAGGCAGAAGGGGTTGATTGTGTAAGTTAATCATTAATGAGTGCTAACCTGTCATATGATGTATGCAATCACTTTATTTTATTGCCTGCAGATTGACTGTCAACTGCCTCTTCACAATTAATTTTTTTAGAAACAGTTGTAAAACTATCTTATCAAATCAATGCAACAGTCAAGATCTTACAAAATGTGAAGAATACGCTTACATCTGATTTGACAAAGCAGTTGAACAAGATCTCCAAGAGTAGTATGATTCAGATGAAATTGAATGTGCACTGTGAGAATGAATTTACAGATCATTATCAAGCAAATAGATGTTGAATTATCAAATTCTTTCACAAATAGATGCAAGTAGATGAAGTTCTCATTATTAAAAATGCCAATCACAAAATTGGAATCTGTAGAGCAGATGAGATGAAAAAGACATTTAATAAAAATTTTCAATTGATTGAAATCAAATCTACAAAATCTACAACCACTCAATCACAATAAGATAACTCTATAGAATCTCAATCTACAGTGGATTCTACACCTTCTAATGAGTATATAGATAATCTTTATGTTATAGATAGATGTGGTGGTGGTTATTAATTACTTTTCAAAGATCACCACATTCAAAATATTTTCCGTACGCTGTGGTTTTCCGTACGCTGTGGCGCACTCACTAGAGAGAGTGAGTAAGCATGGCACGGTTAGCACGGTGCTTGTTTCCTTGCATGCTAACTACCCAACCAGTCCCACTTGGCATGCTTGCGGTTTACATGAATGTCTCAGTTCTCTCGCTCACCTGTAGTGATTTGCGTGCATCGCATACACCCAAACAAAAGCAACCAAAATATATATATATATTGGATTTAAGTGATGACGGAGCTATGATCCCATTGCGGGATGCACGTCGAAGCTCGTTGAGCTACTATACTAAACTTAGATAGAACCTCTCGGCACACTGGCAACCTAAAGGTTGGGTTTTTTTTTTTTTTGTTAATTTTTTTTTTTTGTTTTTTTTTTGGAGGGCGCAGGCAGGTAGGTAAGGTATAATAACGTGGTGATCGTTTAGCAGAATAGGCCCGAGGCCAGAGGCCACTGTGAGTCAGTCTGCGGGTGTGTTGCACCGTTTATTTATCTACCTACAATAATTTGGGCAATTTGGGGGTGGGGGAGAAACGCAGTGATATTCTGTCTGCCTGACCGAAGTCCGGACTGCCTTTTATTATGTTCGATTCATTCATATTCCGCCGACTTTTGAACGATTGAGCGCGGTGAGATAGTGGATGGATATCAATCAAACCCTACTAGGCTTTGGCGATATGGGATGAGTAGGGCATAGGGCAGAAGTTAACCGCGTGTGGATATATATAAATATATGAAATTTCCAAAATCCTGGCAGCCGGCTTGATGACAATCTTCATCTCAATAGATGACAAGACAACCGAGGCCTGACGAAGGGGGGAAACAAGTTTCTCTGGCGCTGATGTTCTTTGTTTAACTATTAACTTCTTTTTTTTTTCACGTGCAACACATCCTCATCCAAAATCTATAAAGTTATAATAAGTTGAAGTCTCGAACTTTTCTAGAAGAACTTCCTTAAGGAGACTTCGAACTAACTAAGAAAGGCTATGATGTAAACTATTTCTTTCAATTCAATGGGGCCATAACGGAAACATGAATAAGAGGATTTTTTTATTCTTATTCTTGAAATGAAAAAAAAAAAAGGGTTACATTAAGCTCAACTTTTAATTTCATTTGGCAACATGGCCCGTTTTGAGCAATGAGTAGTTTAGTTTACTGGCGTAGATAGGAGATAGTTTGAATGATAC